TATTCAATCTAATATTTTCATTTAACCAGGATGTCTTTTGGCTCTAGATTTTACTATCACACATGAGATTTTTATAATCACTCTAATACTTTCCTCATCAGTTAATTTTTCTTGGAATCACTTTGACATTTTCACTACTGTAAAAACTGGAGTGAAAGTAACAGACGGCGCTGTTTCTGTTTCCTTGAGTGTCTGTTTTCTCGATGGCGCCTTCCCCCAGTTTGGCATTTGCCATCTGCAATTGTGCCCGTGCTCCAGTCTTCTGGATGGTTTGGCAGTGGTTGGTTCAGTCTGTTTTTGGAAAGTACCTTTTCCAGTGGGTTTCAAGCCAAGGTTAATAAAATTTACTTTTTAAATTCTTTTTGGTGGTAGTAAGAATTCTGTTTTAATATTATCTGGAACACTTCTATGTTCCTCATAGTCATTTATCTAACAAATGTTGGTGTTTCTTCAAATGAGTTTATGGAACAACTTTTCTTTTATTAATGTTCAATACAAGGGAGTGTATTACTTATTGCAAGTTAGCGTATCCTTTATCCGAAGTGGTTGGGAAAAGAAATATTTTGGATTTTGTGCTGTCCTCTTCCTCGTCTGCCTCTTTGTCTTGAAGGATCACACTCTTGGCTGGTTCCCAAGCCAGAGCTCATGGAGGTCCTTGTAAACATATGCATCTTGCGTATTTGTACTTTGCGGCTTTCTGGATTGTGTTTTCGCTTAAATGTTAGAGGACATTGTTCCATGCCCTCCAAGGCAAAGCGCGGCTTTTCGGAAGCCTGGCGCTGGTGTGCCCTTAGCTTCTCCTGTCTGGCAACCCGGGTTCATCCTTTTCTCCTTGTTGCCCTAAGGGTTGCAATGTCCTAGGTGAGGTTTCAGCCTTTCTGAGGGAGCTCCGGGCCCCACCTGCCTGGGTGCCCATAGTCTTCAGTTTGTAGGAATGCTTTTCGTAATCCTATTTTTAGATGACTTTTTCTTCTTCATTTTTTCTCTCTTCTTCTTCTCAAAGTCCTTTTGTTTGGAAATGGGAAATTTGGGGTTAAAATATGATTTTTTAAATCTTATTTTCTCCTCTACTTCGCTGTTACATTTTATCGCCCCTTCTGTGAGGCTTCCCACTTTCTGAAGGTTGTGGTTGAGGTTGAAACCTCTGCCCCTTTACGTGGTGCCCCCGTTACCTGCTCCCCAAGGGCATTTGGCTCTGTGTCCACTGTGGAGCATCCCGCAGCCTGGTGATCCAGCCAGGTAGGCATTTGTATTTGGAAAGGAGAAGCTCTTCCTCTTCTGTGCTGATGGGAGGGTGAGCAGGACTTCCCAGTGGGCAAGTTTGCTTAGCAGTGAACCCAGCAAAGCAGCTTCCCTGGGAGCTTTTCCTTGTGCAGCCTCCTGAGGCTGCACCTGCTGCCAGCACACAGGGAGAGAGCCAGGGGACACTTCCCATTCTCAGCCACCTGGGACCCTGTATGTGCTCATTGAGGCAGCCTCCAGAGCGCGCCCTCTCCTGTCCCCTCTCTCTCATGAGAACCTAGGCACTTAATACTTTCGAGCTCTTTTTATTTCTTGCATTGAATCAAGTTCTTGCCAACTCACTGAGCAGCCCAACCTGGCCTCCAGCTTGTGATTGTCCTGCCTCAGCCTCCTGGAATGCTGGGTTTTTAGTCGCACTACATACCTACCCCCTAGCACAGAGATGGCTTTTACTGAGAACTTTAATGATCTATTTGTGGACCTGCCCACATTTTGCCTGCTACCCAGTATCCCCGTGGCCACTCTAGTCTGCCCCATCTCCTTGCTACCTTGTGAGCGTGTCCCTTCCTCCTGTCTCCTTGGCTCCCCTCTGTTCCTCACCATAGATAAGTAGTGCCTGCTGGTCCTTCCACAGTGGTGACAGCCAGCAGAGCTGCGCGCCTCCCACACACAGCCAGCCTCCTGTGGAGCAAGATGGATGCTGCTGCTTCTCATTTTCTGAGCTTCGCTGTTATCTTCTCTGGTCTTGGAGCTCGGAATGGCTCCTCTGAGATTGAGAACATATTTTTTTTACAACTCTTATTTGCAGATTTGTTACAGTAGCCTGCAAACCAGTCTGTCTGTGAACCCCTTTTTAGTCTTGCTTCATGTCTGCCCCCCATCACCCCCGTAGAGCATAACCTCATGAGTTATGGCTGTGCTTTTTTAGCCTCTGGCAGATACTATTAGCTTTTTTTTCCCCAGGAATTTCTACTTCCTCACTTATTTGAAGTAAAAATTGAATTTATTGTCTTTTATGTCTGTTTTACTCCCATTATTTTATCTGGGTTTTTCCCCCTCTTTTTTGTTTTAAATCAAGCATTTCCTGTTTATTCAGACTTCTTTTTTTCTTTTAGGGGTTCTAAAGACATCTCAGATAGCCTGTGAATTACACTGTCTCCAACTTTTCCAGCTACGTGTTTTGAATGTTCTGTTCACTTGGCCTGCCACCATATCTTAACCAAACCCATTTGGTCTAACAGTTGTACATGAATATTTAAAGTGTCAGTGTTTCTCTTTCATATGCATAAGTTGATGGACGGACGGTATTGGTTGAAAATATTGGCACCTGTTCTCCAAAACCTGCCCCCTGTTACGTCCTCGCTGGCAGAGCAGGTTACTTTTGGCCATACTGAGGTCCACGTCTGACCCCTGCGAGATGGCCTTGAATTCCTTCTGTCCCCCCCCAGGCCACCTGCTTGTTGCAGCTCTGATGACCATCAGAACAGTCTGAATCAATGGTAGTTGCTTTTTTTCTCTCCAAATGTTGGGTTTTGAGTGTTTCATCATTCTTTTACAAGTAGAGCTCAAGTCTGGATGATGAATGAAGCCTGTCAAGATTGGGTGATTGATCCGAATCTTTACAACTCCAGCAGGAGGAAAGAAAAAGGGTGTAAAATTATTAAGAATCAGAATAGAAAGTACTTTTAAGCTCTAAAAAGACTTAAAAATTTTTACATCTTTAAATTTTATTAAAAAATTGTGTTTTTAACTTCAGGTTTTATATCTCTCCATTTCATGTTTAAGGAAATTGGCGCTCAGAGTTGTGTGATTTGTGTGAGTAACTGCAGCGAGTGTTCAGCAAGTGTAAGGATGTGAAATCTGTGCGCTCAGCTCTCAGACTCTCTGATAGTTGGCAGTCCTGTTGCTGAAGGACCTTCTTAACCACTAGGGAATGCTAACGTATCAGCTGATCAGCTGTCCTGGAAAAACAAATATTAAAACAAGTTTGAGCATTGTGATTATTGCATCTTTCTTTTTAGCAAAATTAAATGACTTTTGATGTAGCTCAGGATCAGGATGGGAGAGAGTTCAATGCTAGGGACTCTACTTTTGATTTATTGCAAATTCAGTCACTAAGTAGTAATGGCAATTCAGAGTAGTGCCTTATAGAAAAGCAAACTCATTTTTCCCTGGAGTTGTAGGGTGTAAAAAAGGGTGCCAGAAAATCTGCCCCCACCATTAGTGAGGTGAAACCTGTCAGTGTAGGTTCCTAAAAGAAGCTGGAACAGTGCTTGTGTTTTGGTGGCCGGGGTGGGGGCTCTGGGGAAGTCCTCTGGGGAAGTCCTCCCCAGCTGGCAGGATGAAGTCTGAGATTGGGTCAGAAAACTTTATCCTGGGCTCTTCTGATTCTCTTCCTTCTGCCATTTACAACATTAAAGTTATAAAATTTTGCTTCTGCTTTCCTTTTGTTCTAGAAAAAATTTTAAAGAGAATTTTATATTGCATTCTCAAAATTGTTTTCATCTTTCTTGTGTTGTAGATTGTCCTTGCAATTGGTGTCCTTGCAATTGCTCCCGGGTCATTTAAAGAAACACATGTCTTTCTGTGCAAAGTACTGTGTATTTTCACAAAATCAATTTTGTTATCTCCTTCAAATTTTTGATTTATTCTCTTTAGCTTACATGTTCTTCCAAATTCTGAAAGTGTTAAAATACTCCACCATGATTGGATTTTATCATTTTCTCTGTAAGTGTAGAAGGTATTTGACTACTGTATTGCTTGTTTATATATTTTTTTAATCTAAGAGATACAATAAAAAGTAAATAGATGAAGAGAGAGATAGTATACAACTGAATGGGCAAATCACTATTCTAAAAATGAGATCCTTTCTAAATTATGTCATTCTGATCAGAAACTCAACAGTTTTTTATTTTTATTTTTGAAGAGGTGACTTGTTAAGGAAAGTAAGTTGATAAGAATTACCTAAAAACTGTTTTAAGAATTAGAATGGTTGAGGGTAGGAAGTCTTCTTTATCATGTGTTAAAATTGCCAACCTGCTACAGTATATAAATAATGCATGATATGAAAAATACAGAATCAAGCTGACTATAATAGAACAGATCCTAGCATTGTAAGAAAGTAATATATATTATAGGCTGAATTTCATGTCGCTGGGAAAGGGAATGTTTACTTGATATAATGTTAGCATAATTGGCTATTTCAAAGAGAACAAGTTAGGGTTTTGCTGATGAGAGATCTAAGTAGACAATGCCACTGAACTAGAATTTTAGAAGGCAGTATGAATGCGAGAAGGGGAAGACTTTCACAGACCTAGCAAGAAGTGAGGGAAGATATAAAAGGAAATATCGACATTCCTAACTTCATAACATTAACAACATCCTTCCTGGCAGGATATACCATAAAGTATTTCAAAATACTTTGTCACACATGTGACACCTAAGATGTGGTACTCCCAGTCTTTAAATAGGGAAGTGGGTAATCTAGTAGTAAAACAGACACAGAGGACAGGAACAGGCAGTTCACAGAGGGAAATGTGGGACAGCAGGACCAAACGCACCTCTAACAAGATGCTTGGAGGAGCAGGCAGGTGCAATGGTCCAGACAGGAGTGAAAAGAAAGTCTGTGCCTGTGCTGGGAGGATGCACAGTGTAAGCACCTGGGGTGCTGTGTCCACTGGGCCAGGGTAGCTTCCTGTTCCATGGTCCTGTGGGGACCGTGGCGTCTCTCGCCTTTGTCCTCTGAGAACACAAGGGTACCAGTATTGCATGAATGAGGGTTTCTACCTTTTACAAAATTATAGCAAGAGATTGAGTCTAATAGGGAAAGGGCTGAACAAATTGCATATGGTGGTAGTGCACAGTATTTGATGTTTATTAAAAGAATGACTTAGGTTACATGTATTGATTAGGAAAAAGCTTCGTGATTAGAAAAAGAACAGGTTTCACAGGAATGTGCATGGTACACTCCCATTAGAAGCCTATTCTGTGTGGCTATAGAGAAGGACGTGGGAGGTGGACACAGAGGGTCCTAGATGGACTTGGGTGACTAGGATGGAGGGCAGGAAGACATCAACATTACTTGTTTTGAATAGGAAATACTGTTCTTTTTGTGTTGTCCAAAAAACCTCAGAATAGTAAAATTTATTATAATTAAAAACCCTTAGCTATCTTAAGCCTTCTCATGTCTGTTTCCTTCTGTAAAATAAGCATCTTTCTATTCGCCAGTGCTGGTGCACTTTAATTTCCAGGGAGAAACCGGAGAGGCCTGTGTCCTGTTCGTTCCCCCTGGGTGAGGCGGGCGTGGGTTCCTTGCTCTTCCGTTGAAGGTGCTCTGGATGCCTCCTGGAGGACTCTGTGCCCCTGCCTGTCCAACTCCCCCCACTCTTTCCCCTTATTCCTGTGACCCATTCTCCTGGCCACTTTCCAGCCCATATCCAGAGTTTCTGTTTCTCTTCTGTTTTGCTCGTGCCCATCCTGTGTCAGCTGATGGAGGGAAATCACACAGCCCTCTAGTTAGAGACCCGGAATGTTAGTGGTCACTTCCCACCTCACCTGCCCCCTGAAAGATGGCTCATGACCCTGTGGGCCCCTTGCCCTGTCTCTCCTTACGGGCCCGTGGTATTTCGGCCTTCAGCCCTCTCTTGGTGCTCCTGTCCTTCTGAGCAGAAAGTGGCTGTGCCTGCCCCATATGGAAAATGGAAACCACCAAGGACACACAGCTCTCCCCTCCTCTGCCCTCAGGGATGTGCTCACAGTGCAGCCCCTCCCTGCCATCACCTTTATCCCCAAGAGCAAGCACTGAGACCTGGGAGCCTGAGCAGGCCGGGCCTGTGCACTGCCCAGTCCTCACTTTGTCATGGGCGCACTTGCAGGTGACAGGTGTGGGGGGTGATCCTGGAGTAGATACTGAGAAAGCAGCAAGTGTTCAATCGAGGAATAACCTCGAGGGATACGAAGGAAAGCAAAGTTGCAGCCAACTGGAATCAGCCTGCATCCTCTTCCCAGGTGTCCAGGGCAGGGCGGGGAGGTGTTCCCTCTTCCCAGAGAAGATGAAGGTGTCCTTCCCAGGCTGCCAGCACTTTGAAGCCTGATTGCCATACTTTGATATTTATGTGCTGTGCCACTTTTCTGAAAGCAAATAAAAAATGAAAGCTTATCTGTAAACAGTGCTTCCCTTGTGTGTTCTATAGAAAACTGGCTTGCGGTCTGGCTTGGGGAGTAGTGAGTGAGTTAGTGTGCGGACACGTGGTGCACATTTATTTGTAAGCGTGGGCAGGAGTGTGGTGCTGTCCACCTTATGACCCTTTCAGAGCCCCCTTCCGCACTTTTAAGGAAAACAGTGCAAGAGAAATAAAAGAGACACAAGTCAGTAATACCTGATGCTTTCCAGAATTGCAGCCAGGCTGCAGACACTTGGTGAGGGCTGCAGGACTTTCCCCTTCCCTTTCTGTTGGCTGGTCTGGGAGTGCACATTTTGAAAACAGCCGACGATTGTTTTAAAGATAAAATGATTTTTGGCTAATGATACTTTGGAGGAAATAAACTGTATAGGAGAATTCTGCATTTGTGGAAGGCCACCATACCGTGTCCCTTTAAGGTTCTGTTGGGACCAACCTGGGCTTCACTGTACTGTTCTCCAGTCCCATTTCCTTGTCCTCTTCTTTTTTCCAGCGGCAGCCGATTGGGAGGCCTCGTAACGGTGTCATGCTTCTTTTTCAATCATGGAGAGGTAGGTGCTCGAAATATTTTCAAAACTTTTCCTGGAAACACAGTTTATCCTTTAATTGCTTTTAAATTGTATCTGGTAGCATTCTTTAAACGTTTATTATTTTGACCTATATTTGGGTGCTAGCATTTATTTTCACTTAACTTTTCATGACTGTTTCAAGACCATTTTTTCTCTCATGGAATGCAGTTGGTACTGATTTCAGAAAATAATGAATCTGTGATAAATTTTTACATAATTTTAAAACTAGGAAATCTCATCTTTTAGGAATAGCACAATTTTTTTAAAAAGTATGATTTGGGAGATTGAACCCAAGGTCTCTGTACTATGCTACATTCTTAGCCCCTTTTTTGTGTATTTCGAAATTGGGTCTCATTAGGTCACTAAGTTGCCCAGGCTGGGCTTGAACTTGGGGTCCTCCTGCTCATCCTCCAAGAGTGCTTGGATTAGAGGTATGCACTACCCCACCCAGCCACAGATAATATACTTTAAAGTACTCTTTGCAGGATTTTTTTTTATACCTATAGATTTATACATGTTTAAAGGCTTTCTAAAGACAACAGTGTTACCATGTTCATGGATTTATATCCAGACTGCTGGGCCCAGATCCTGACTACCATTCGGTGGCTGTCTGACCTGAGCTGTCATATTTATCTCTTGATGCCTCAGTTATCTCTTTGAAAGTGGAATCTTGAGAACTATCACAGAGATAAGTTTTATGAAATTGTTAGTTTGAATTTTATTTCATTTGTTAGTATTTTTAGTCATTCAGTTCAGATTAAAATCTAATATAAAGTGCCCATTAATTCGTTCCTTTAGTTAGCTGTAAGTGGATTTCTATGAATGTATCTCAGTCTATATTTCTTTCTTAGGAAGTTTAGTATGAGGTAGGGTTGGGGATGGATCATTGGAAAGGTCAGCTTGCTTCCTGTGAATTCATCCTTTCTTCCATTTATACCCCGTGACCACAGTATTTACATATGTGCATATTTTAAAGCTCCTGAGAGTAAGCCATCATATGCAAACAGTGCTTTTTAACTTTTTAAAAATCAGCAAGTCCCTGTGGATAGTCATCTGGAACACACTTAGGATTTAGAATCACAGCAACACATGGGTAGAGGGCCTTGTGGGTCAGAGCAGAGAAGCCCGAGGTGACCCGTATGGTGTGAGTTAGGGTGCAGAGAGGAGAGAGTGCTTTGGCTTCTCCTGCCCGTGGAGACTGTGTGGACTGTGGGACATTGTGAAGTGTGGACGCTCTGAGCATGACCTAAGACACGGGAAAGAAGGGCTCAATAATGGGAGAAAGGAGCATTGTGTGCTGACAGTAAGATGCTGGAGGAAAGGCTCCCTGAACACTTTGGAGCCAAGGCATAGTCAGAAAGGCTACTGTGTGTGAAGCACAGAGGTCCGTTTGTGTTGCCCGCAGTGCACGCTGCAGTGGTTAGTTCTGATCTTATGTTTTTCTTAGAATTTTGATAGTCATGTAGCCTGAGCATCACTTCTTTCAAAGTCTTTTTAGTTTTTAACAATGGGATTCAGACAGTTCAGCTGATTTTTCAGCCTGACAGATTTTCTTTTTTGTATTTTTCAGCTACTTGGTCTTTTAAAGAATGTTAGATAGTACTTTCTTAGGAAATGGTAAACTAAATAGAATTAGAATTTTTGTTTTACTGAAATAGCCAAGTAATTTATTGTATTTATATGTGAACTGTAGCTTTAGGGTAAAAAAAGGACCTTTTAGTGTAGTGACATACAGTAAAATTTAGAGCATATTTTTAAGCAAAATTTGATAAGAAAATAAATTACTAGAAATTTATCATTTTAAATGTATTTTAGCTTTCAGATTATGATTTTTTAATTTTTTTCTTATCTTTAAAAATATTATGTAATGTATATAATGTTTTATGAGGGGAAACATCTGTTCTGATAATATATTTTCATGTATGTAGTGAGTTTTTTTGCATGGCTTTGTTCACTAGACTTGCTATTGGTTACTGACTGGCACCTTACTTTTTTAGGAGAGAAATTTTAATCACCTGAGTGAATGCTTTAATGTGTCCCCAGAAGAGCTATGGATTGTACTTGCTCCTGTTTCCTTTATTGATTTGCACTGTATTGGATCTAAGAGGTCATGGAATACCTTTTAAAATTTTGTTTTTCCTTAGAAAGATTTAGAAGGAAACACCATGCATTAACAAAAGAACTGTAAAATGGTGTAGCAGTAATGGATGAATCAAATTGTTTAAAACAGAAAATTAATACTTTCCAGTTAGAACCGGGAAGCACTTGCTATCAGAACTGATGACACTGAGGCTGTGGCAAACAGTCCTACAGACCTGGTCACTTTCCACGACACTTTACTGAGTGTCTTCAGCACGGCCAAGATACCAGCCAGTGGTTCACTCTGCCTTTGCATGATTCCTTGGTGCTAGATATGTGTAGCGTGAGATGATGAGGGGGTTTGTTTTTTGCTTTATTTATTTTGTGGGGCTGTCATGTGAACCCTAAACCTTTAAACTAAACTATGCCCTCCGATCTTTTTGAAAATTTTTTATTTTAAGACAGTGTTGCTTAGGTACTGAGTTGTCCATGGTGAGATTAAATTTGAGATTCTCCTGCCTCAGCCTCCTAAAGGGTTGAGATTACCCATGTATGGGGGTCTTACCATGTTTATTGAAAAGTAGTTAGCTGAGAAGATAGAAAACCTAATTGTTCTCCAATTTTGTATGTCAGAAATTCTCATGAAATTGGATCATTTAGCTTTTTCATAATGATATTTTAAACATTCACATATATGTAGATAAGCACATGTGGAGAAGTTTGTTTTTAAAGTTTATTCTCTTTTCCTTCCCCTTTGCTGCTTTCTTTCCTTGTGTCTTTTTCCCTGCTTTCCTGTGTGAGTATTTTGCATTTGACACGCATTCTGGGTCTCTAGCTGTTGGGCTCAGTTGCGGTGATGTGCACTGTGTGCTGGGTGCGTCTCCATGTCGGGGGTCCCTGGTCCGGTGGGCATGGGTGAGGACAGTCTCCTAAGGTAGGCGAGTGACGGCTGATGAGAGCAGGGAGGTGATCCTGGAGCACAGAGAGACAGTGAGTGGTGTGAGCTGGAGGGGCAGGTGTTGTCGTCCTCTTAGGACGACAAAGGAGGTTCCTTTGGAGCAGAGGGGAAGCAGCTAGAGCACTAGAGCATCATAGTGACATCATCAACATGACTTTCATATCATTTTGTAAAACTGTGTGTGCACGATATATTTATTTAGGCTATTAATTGGTATTTGTGGATTTAGGAGCTTACATTAAGTTTATAGAAACTCTAAAATTAAAAAGAAAGTACATTCACAGTGTCTTAGAAAACCAGCCTACAGCACAGCACCCCTTGTGCCCTGGCCCTGGTCGATGGCTAGTTTTGTTGCCCATTATGGCCCAGGCTTCCTTTTCCTTCTCTGTGTTTTGCTTCTGCTCTGCTGGCCTTCCTTCAGTTCTTGGAAAGAGCCCCCCCCCCCATTCCATCCCCCTAAATATCTTTTCCCACATCATTAAGGCTGAGGGTCTGGATTCCTGCCGGAGTGCTGCAATTTGAATTCCTGTTACTTTACTTGGAATGTAAGTAGAGATCACTTGGCCCCTTGGCTAAGTCTCCAGCATTGCATTGATCCGTTTGAGGTGATCTCTGTGATGTTACCCATATTTGAGCTGGGAGTTAATGTGTTATGGAGAAGTTCCTTTAGAAATGCCTTGCCAATTAAAAGAATTCCAAGTCTGACTTTGAACAAAGAATTGGACAAAACAAGCGCCAAACAGTGTCAGAATGTTTATTTAAAAAGTTAGAGGTGAAGGGGGGTAAGCAAGAAACTAGATCTGCAGAGGGAACTTGGGCAGAACAAGTGAAAAAAGGTAAAAGCAAGAAGTACATCCTGTGTCTGAGCAGGGAATACTTGGCCAGTCACAATAGCAAGCTCCCAAGTCGTCAGTCTGCTGTGAGGCCATCCACATCTCATAGGAATTTGTGATAAGTTCTACATAGGGGCTGCTGGCGTTGTCCTGGGATCTAGTCACTGACCTGTGCGGCCATTGTCCCAGACAGCTTTGCTATACCACACCCTGTCTCCTATCTCAGATTCCTTTTGAGCTTAAGTTCATCCCACTCAGCATTCAAGTCCAGCGGGCCCAGAAACCTAAGCACTGCAGGAGATTGTAAAATCTGTTTCCTCCTCTCCCCTGCTGCTCCTTGCTCTGCTGGCTCCCAGCTTGTGTCTTAAGAAAATCTGTTTCCCACTGGTTCCAGCCAGAACTTTCTCTCTGCCACAGATCCACACCTCAGTTGGTGCGTGTCCCATGTGTGAAGACAGAGCCAGCAGGTGGTGTGCTTTTGAGCTGTGCCAGTTCCGTGGTGAATCTCAGACTAAAAAGCAGTACAACAAGAGTGCTTATTTCTGTGGCTTTTTTCTCCCTCCAACTTTCTATTTTGAAAAATTGTAAGCCTACAGAAAAGTTTTAGGTTTGTATTCACTTGTGAGTTTAGTATCTTGCCACATGTACTTCCTCTGTCTTGTACACACACCTAATCCACAGTTACTTTTCTGGTCATTGAAAATGAGTCACAGACTGTGACATGTCACCCAGTCCCTTAGTATAAATTTCCTAAAGCAAGAACATACTTGCATAATCCCCATAGACTTTTATCATACTCAAGGAATTTGACGCTCATAGTACCTTTGTTTGACTGTTCTTATTATTTTTTGAGACTAGATCTTGCATTGTAGTTCCTTGCATTGTAGTTCAGACTAGCTTTGAACTTAGAGCGATGTTCCTATCTCAGCCTCCCAAGTGCTGGGATTACAGGCATGTGCCACCAAGCCCAGCTACAGTAGCATTTTAGTATAGTTCATATTCAGATTTCTACATTTATCCCAATAAATCCCTTTTATCCTCTCATTTTGAAGTTTAATTTGAGACTACTTATTTTCGGGAGCTGTCACTTTATGTCTGGGACAGTTTGTCTACAGCAGTTCCTCCTCCTGTTCTCTGTGCCCCTTCTTGTGTCATTGACATTTTTGAGGAATCCAGGCCCATTATTTGTGGAGGCCCCTTAGTCACAGAAGTGGCATCCAGACCGGGCATTGCTGTGGAGAATGTGACATCGGTGACATCACACCTTGTTCATTGTCGCTCCTTTGGGGGTGTGTAGTGAGACCATTTTCTCCAGTGTTGAATTTACCGCATCTATTTGATTTGGTGGATGTCAGGTTTAGCTGCTGTAAAGGTGCCTTTTTCCTTTGAAAAAGTGGTTGTGGGTTGGTACTCTTGAGTATCCTGTTCCCTTGTAACATTTTACCAGGAGATCGCGGCACCAAGGCGCTTGCCTGAGTCAGTCACCACATTGGCCATCCCAAGTGGCAGTTTCCTCACCCTTGCATTTTACCTACATTAATAATTGCTGTTTTTATAAAGACAGATCTCCTTTGCCATTTTCTTTTTACTATTGCTATACATGGCATGGGCTCCTTTTGTTCTTTACAATCCATTTACATCATAATTCCTCTTGATATTCATAAATCTGTCCAGTAGGAGCACTCCTTTAAAATGATACATAATCTTCACACATTAAAATGGGTATCTCTTTAACTGTCCAGCTCCGCAGAGTTCACACGCATACACAGTCATGTAGCCATGACCCAGATCAAGAGACCGACTGTTGTATTGTTTTTTTCCCATTCTTTAATTCTGATAAATAATGTTAAATTTAATCATCACAGCTAGTTTTCAGTGCACAGCTCTGTGCTTTTAAATATATTTACAATGGCATGCGACCACCGTCCATCTCCCAAACTCTTCATCTTGTAGGAGTGAAACTCTGCCCTCTTGAAACCATGACTACACCTGCTTCCCAACCCTGGCCACCATCATTCTGCTGTCCTTCTTTTAAAAACAGTTTTTTCTACCAGTACATATTTGTAGTATGTCACGTTCATGTTCAGGATTTGTATGTCTCTAAGTTATCTGTATAATGTTTTTTTATTCCCCTTCCCTTCTGCTCCTTCCTCTCCTCCTCCCTCCGTCTCTGGAGCCCCTCATTCACAGAAGATCTATTTCTATTATGTATCTTTTATTTTGTCTTTTAAAAGTTATTTATACTTTAGATTTCTCATATATGAGAAGTTTTGTGATATTTAACGTTCTACATCTTATGCATTTCATTAGCACTATGGACTGAAAATTGTATCCATTTTCCTACAAGTGACTGGAGTTTACCCTTCTTACTGGCATAGTACTAGTGTTCCATCTTGGGTAAATAACACATTTTCTTCATCCATTCATCTGTTGATGGACATAAGGGCTGCTGCCAAGATTTAGCAACTATGAATTATGCTGCTCTATATATGGGGATGCATGAAGACACCGACTATACTGGCCTTCGGCAGGGTCTCCCTCCTTGTCTCACAAGTGCTCAGCACTTTCCTGTTCTTTGTCACTGTAGATAGATTTTTTTCTGTTCGGGGGCTTTGTATAAATGGAATAATGCTTTCTAATGTCTGGCTTCTTTTGACATGTGTATGCAGTGTTTATGTAGTTTTCCAAAGTGCTTCTTATCGTTTCTTACTCCCACTAGTGGTACCCAGGAAGTCCAATTTCTTCCACATTCCTGTCAGTGCTTGCCCTCTTAATTTTAGTAATTCTGATGAGAAACTGCTACTTGCATTTTTGCAGTTTGGGTTTGTAATTGCTTGGTGAATGCTACCGGAGAGAACTTTGTATGCTACATAGCGGATATCCCCTAAGGTGCTCAGGTAACTTAGTGCCATCACCAAACAGACCACCTTCCCCATGAAGCTATGGTGATATTTTGTCATCCGGAAGATGACTATACAGGGCTGATTGAGAAATGCAGAGTGTGTTTAACTCTTAAAAGATATTGCAGTAAAAGACACTTTGCTATGAATCCTCCTCAAAAGTCCTTCCCCTTGCTTCAAACACACTTATCTCATCATTCTTGCCACTTTCTAGAGAGTTCTGAAGTCTTCTTTCATGAGTGTGGTATTGTATAAATACAGCGAACACTGCTGCCAAGTGCCATCCAGTGGAAAGGCAGGCTGCTCAAAACATGTCCCTGAGTTCTTATCCCCTTATTCCCTGGATCTGGCCTCATGTGACTTCCAACTCTTCCCTAAAGTCACAATGACATGAAAGGGAAAACGTTTTGAATCGATTCAGAACATCAAGGCAGCACAACTAAAGACCCACTTCTAGAACCACTCAGCAAGGACGATGGGACATTTTTTTAAGGCAAGGGAGACTATTTTGAAGTATATTCATAGCAATGTATCTTTTACTAAAATGATTTTTTTAAAAAATTTAAGCACTTCCCTATGCTTTTGATCCCAGGTAGTACATTTCTAAGTTTGTTTCTAGCCTTTCCATCCTGGTGTATTAGTCTTTCTTACCTTTAAGGCAGTATCATACTGTGTTAAATATTGTGGCTTTGTAGGTTTGCTCTCTTGATGGTGGAAGTCTCCTGCTGTTGCTGTGGCTATTCTGGTCTTTGGGTCTCCATGTAAATTTTAGGATCAGCCTGTCACTGCTGCTTCCTTTCTCCATTCATGCACAGCTTGTACACAGTTTTAACTGTGATTACTTTGCAACTCTAAGTCAATTTAGAGAGAGCTGACACCTTAAACATACTGAGTCTTCCAGTCTGTCAGCATATCTGTGTTTCATTTCTCTTTATGGAGATCACAGTCTCCCTAATGTCCCTCATATCTTCTGTTGGTGAATTCCTTAATTCTTCTGATACTTTCCTTTAGCTTTGTTGTGGCAAACAAAGCATTCCAAGATGACCTTGTTCTCTCTTTTCCCCAGATACAGAATCAGCTGTTGTCCAAGGAATCCTGGATCCTATTAGTAGAAATGTTATTTATGGCCACAGTCTGGATACCGTATTTCCTTCATTTCTGTGTGCCAGGAATTCTGTACTCATCTAGATGTGGGGAGGGGAGGATATCGGAAATTGAACTTGAACTTTGCACTTGGCCAGGCAGGTTCTGTGCCTCTAGCTATATCCCTGGCCCCTCTTCTAGATCTTTTGAAACACGTCACAGACTGTTGTGGCCAGCAAGCTCACTACGGAGTATAAATCCCCAAAGAAATGAGCCATTACGCCAAAGAGACACCTGCATTTGCACTACTTACAGTAGCCAGGATAGAGGTCAAGCAGGCTGTCCGTGGGCTCGGTGGAGGACAGACAAGGAAAAGGTAGTGTATCCGCGGTGCGCAGCCTGATGCCGCCTGTGTGTGTTTCTCAGGACTGTTTCTCACTCCCAGCTTTGCTCTTCAAGGAAAGTCTGGTTTCATAATGCCATTTAAAGTATGTGTGAGAAGTGCCTCTCCTTGCATTTGTAAATAGCTGCCTTTGCTTGATATGTCCTAAAGCAGATTTAGCAAGTAGGTCACACATCTGAATGTTCTCTTTCCAGTGCACCCGTGTGATGTGGACGCCACCTCTCCGAGAAAGCTTCTCATACCCATTCCTTGTGCTTCAGATGTTGCTTGTGACTCATATTCTCAGGTAACTTTCACTTATTCTTAAATGATGCACAGTTTCTTAAGTTTCTATACTGAAACAAATAAACACCGTCAAGATGATCTCCTTCTATGGAACTAGTATAAAGGTATTTTAAGATGAACACTTACCAGTGCTTGGCACCAAGGCCATTTCGTCCATCTGCCTCCAGCCTTCTTGCTTTTTGCTTACTGGTTCACACCAACCACTCCAGGAGCGTAAACCTACCCTTACATCTCCATCTCTGCTGCCCCAGATCTTTTCTGTTGTGTTGTGGCCAGAGAGAGAGGCAGGGACTGGTCATATTTCACTTCATCGAGAATAGGTCACTGGCTCAGTGTAGGCAGCGGCATTCACACCTGAAAGCTGTCTTCCTGCCTTCTCGGCTTCCCTGAGAATCGTATAGCTGGAACAGAAAGGAACTGTCTCGGTGGGCCATAGCTATGCTATGAGAACTGCTACTGGCACTGCAGGACTAGATGAAGCTCTCTGTTGTTCCAGTAGCCTCAGCTAGTGATTTCTCGGCTGTACCCCACCAGGGTGGCACAGAACAGTCCCCTTCTCCTGGTGCAGCTAGCTGCAGCAAATGTGGCCTTGCTCCAGAGAGGAAGCTGAGCAGAGCATGATAAAATCTGAAGCTTTTTATTCCAAGATCTCCTGCGGGGCTCTGCTGTGGTGGGAAGGTTCTTTTGAGTGTCTTGCTGAGCTACTGGACACCCCCTGCTGGGTCTCAGCAGGCCTGAGACTCCCGTCTCTTGTGTGTAGTGTGCAGAGGGACTTTTCTGAGTGTGGAGGACAGTTTCCCACTGTGAGCTTTTTAAAATCCACAAACTTCAGCTATCCTGCAGCCTCTGAATCCTTTCCTCTTAGGGTCTAATGCCTTTGTAGCACCTGCAAACATGGGGCATCTCTGGATTTGTCACCGCTGCCCTGCCTTCTGCTCCTGGGCCCCCTGAAAGTGTCCCGTTGGCACATGGCCCTAGAAGGAGGGGTGTGGGTAGAGCTACCTTCTGCCCGGAGGGAGGGTGCTCACTGGGCTGCTGGGCTGGTGCGGCTGCTTCTTTCCACTGGCCTGAGTCTGGGCAGATGCTCCTTGCTCCTCCACTGCTGGGCTCTGCCCTCCACTTCCAGAGCCAGGCATAGAGCCCAGCAGCCACACTGCCTTCCTGCTGCTTTGTCAAGTATTTAAATGTGAGTTAATTTTTTGTTTCAGTTTTATTTTGTAATAATGTTTACACGTAATTTTAGGGAGTAGCCATGCATGTTTAACATTTCTTTCCATTCTGCTTCTCCACTCTTCCCTATCTGCTCCCTCCATCTCTCGATCCTCTTCTTGTTTGCAAAAGATCTATCTCCCTGTTTCTTACTATTATTTATATTTTGAATTTCTTACATAAGAGGAACCATGTAATATTTAAGCTGTGTGTGAAGTTTATTTCATGTAATATTACAGTCTCGGCTTGCATCCATTTTCCTACGAATGACTTGTTTATCCTTCTTTATGGCAGAATAGTGCTCCGTTGTGTATAAATCCCACATTCTTTTTTTTTTTTTTTGGTCTTTTTCTTTTTTATCGGTACCAGGGACCGAACTCACAACTGCCTGCTTGCAAGGCAGGTGCTTATGCCACTGAGCTAAATCCCCAGCCCCCAAATCCCACATTCTTTATGTATTCATCTGTGGATGGACATAGAGGTTGTTCCCAGGATTTAACTACTATGAATTGTCCAATTACAGCAATGGCTGTGCATGTGTTACGTATATGATGACTTTAACTCTTTTGGGAATATTCCCAGAAGATCAAAACCTGGTTCAAACAAAATTCCTAGTTTTAAACTTTTGAGGAATTACTATACTGGTTTCTATAGTGGTTGTATTAGTTTATATTCCTACCAGCAGTGCAGGAGGCTTCATTTCGCCCTGTGTTCTCACCTATGTTTATAAGTTGTTTGATTTCTTGATGATGGCCATTCTTTCCAGGGTAAGGAAGAATCTTGGTATTGTTTTACTTTGCTTTTCTCTAATGCCCAGCAGTGTTGATATTTTTTCTTGTACTTATTGGCCATTTGTTCTTCTAAGTTTTATTCATTTCAGTTGCCTGTTTTTTGATTGGGTCTTTTATTTGGGACCATCTGAGTTTTTAAAGTTCTTTGTAAATTCTAGATACTGGTCCTCTGTCCGAGGAGTAGCTGGCAGATATTTTCCCCACTCTGCAGGTTATCTGTTCAGTCCTTTGGCCGTTTCCGTTGCTGTGCGGAAGCTGTTTAATATGATGTGATCACATTTATTGATTTGATGCTATTGATTATACAGCTGGGATTCTGCTTCTTTTAAGAAGCTTTCTTCCTTTGGCCACTTGGGCAGTCTGGATTCACCTTCCTCTCTGTAGGCCAGGTGCCTAGTGCCTGCACATATGTCTGCAGCCCTGCTGCTGTGGCAGGAAGTCCTGCCTGTGCCTGCTCCCGGGGTCAGGATGGAGAAGTCTGTAGAAGCTGCTGTTCTCCCTGCCACTGCAGGGCTGCTTCCATCACGGGCTGCTTGCTGCAGGTTTCTCACAGGTATTCTCTGTGTACTTGTACAGCAAGCTTTTTTTTTTTTTTTTAACCCTCCCAAAGAAATTGTTTGTGGTCCTGGGTATTGAACCCAAGGTCTTTTAACTGATCTACACAGCCAGTCCAGTTTTTACTTTATTTTTTTTAATTTTGAGACAGGATTTTACTAAATCCCTAAGTGTCCCAGCCTGGGCTCTGACTTAGGGTCCTCCTGTTGCAACAGCAGGCAGAAACATCAAAATGACATCCAGGATATGGAAGCAGATTTATTTATGTAAATGGACACTAATCAAGATCATTCCTAGAATCTCAGGCCCCGATCTGTGGTGGCCTGGAGCGTTTATATGATGCCCAAGCAGGAAGTACAAAGCTGGTATAAAGGCAAAACAGACCACCTGGCGGTTCTTTCTGGTTAGCTAGCAGGGTGAGATCATCCATTGCAAGGATAGATTAATGATCACCAGTTCATGATTCTTGGTACAATGGCATAGTCAGGCATCCTGTGTGGTTGGTCATGTTCTCATGGTTGCAGGGTTCAAGGAAGTAATTACAGAACCACAGAATAGTTACAGAACTAGGTAGTTTCAAAGAACCCAAAGTTTTAAAAGGAACAATTTCTCTTGTCTTAGTTTTCTCTTTCATTTTTCCCTCTTGTCCCTCCTCAGAAAAATCTTTTCAATGCTGGGGCTGTATTAATTTCCTCACAAAGAATTCAGACTCTAACATTAAATGTCAGCATATTAGTAACAACAAACATTTTAAAATTATAATTGATAGCCCTAGGCATTTTAGATGAGGAAGACAATTTAAAATAACAAGTCTGATTAACAAAACTCTGCAAAGAGTAAGGGAAAGAATCTTACTGGTTGTCTTCATCCCTCTGGGATAACTGTCCACAAGGCCGGGGCAAGTTTATTGTAAGAGAACAGGGAGCAAGAACGAAACTGAGTAACACCATATCAAGCACCTGTGGGAGAAAACTGGGACAAGCACTCACACTTGGAATCTGGTGAATGTTGTCCTCAAGCTTCAGCTGTGCATTGACCTGTCAGTGTCCTGAATGACAGGAGCAAGACTTTAGTGTATTGTCCCTTTAGAGTGAGCCCTAGTGGAGTTGTCCAGGTAAATTTTTTAGCAGATCTAAGGCTGAACTTCTTAACCTTGTAGAGATAGTTAGTATGTACCTGTGTTATATGTGTGTGCAGGAATGTCTGCAGATATAGCTGTTATTTTAACTGGTTAAAAGCTATGTGTAGTTTTATGTTTTATTTTTTTATAATCTACATATCTTTAAATTAGTAGAGTCCACTATAATGCTTGAGAACAGGGTCAAGTGACACAGACATTGAAGCCTGAGCTGGCTGCAGGGGTACAGGAGCCAGCACAGCAGCTAGAGCTTGCAGAACAGATGGTGGGGGACAGGTCTAGTTCTGACTTTCTGGGAATACCGGTAAAGTTTTTGTGGCCGGTGTTGATATTTCAGTCAGTGGGAGGGGACTTAGGCCTCTTGATCAAATTATTTTGCATTGGTGGCAGATTTTCAAACAGCAGCCGGAAGCAGTAACAGGAGAGCTTTGGCCAAAATAGCTTTGTCCAGTGTGACCACACTATATTTTGCCTGTCAAATTCCATTCCTAAGAGAGCTACTTGCATCTGTAAACAGGGTGTAATCAACATCTATCAGGGGGTTTATTTTTTCAAATGTAATTGGCTCGAAAACAGTTTATCAGACAGTGCCAGGGCAATCATGGTCGATTAGGGTCAGCTCTCTGGTCAGGTGTGTGGCAGGCTTGAGTGGTTTTATCACCACAAGAGTTAGGCAGGGAGTTTTGCATAAGAGTCTTTGGTACTGGGTGAGGTCTAGCACAGCAGGTGGCACCTGAACAGTTATGTCTTGGCCTAAGGTGAGCCTGTCAGTTTTTTGATCAGGACAGTGGCCAAGTATTTTCACAGGTAGGCCACTGAGTGTGCTCAGGGACTGACAGCCTGAGTAAACATTGTTTTGTGAACACAAGGATACAGATTTTATAGAAGCCAGCAGCTCCAAGAAATTTTGAAGTTTTTTTTTTAGTAACCAATTTCTGCCAAATATTGTGGCAGAGCTTTTGTGTCTTTTCAGTAGGCAGCTTGGTTGTTGTTCTAGGAAACTAGCATGATCACCCATGAGGGCCTCTCCAAAGAGGATAAACAAGTTTTTGAACCTCTGGTAGGCCGAGGTCAGGTCAGTTGCAGCTGGCTGACAGGAGCCAGTCAAAGGCAGAAGAGGACGTTCTTAGGTACAAGCAGATATACCAGCAGCGGTGGGTGGTAGAAGACTGAGGCAACATATATGGAAGGCAGCCATGCTGCACTGGCAGGTTGAAGATCTTGAACTGACTTTAGAGGTAGGAGAAGTATATTTTAGCAGTTTGACAGTCTATACTGTTTTCTCAGGGGAAAGGAAAGCTGGAAGGGACAGAGAAACCTCAGAGAAAAGATGCCAGTGGCTTGGCCAAATCTGTTGTTAGAGCTTCCCCCCAAATAGTGGGAGAGTCTTAATCCCTTAAGGCAGTCAAGTCCCACCCGAGGTGACTATTTATCTATGGACGGGCCCAGTTAAAGGGGCTTATGGGAGCAACTGGTGAGCAGAAGAAGGTATGTTTTAAATCTGGAACAGTTCAAAAAGGAAGTAGGAGTAGCTTTCAGAACTTCAGAATTGTGATCATCTGTGTCAGACTGATGCAGGTATCATCTTTCTCTCGGAGAACAGTCAGATTTGAAAGTGCAGGTTTAAACAAGGAGGATGACTGACTTGATGCAAAGGAGATGTCCTCCCAGGCTGCAGGTTTGTGACTGGCAGAATGAATGAGAAAAACGAGTTCCACATTTCCCTAGTGATGATAACTTTTTGATGGGGGTACCTATTGAAGGCAAAGAGTTTTGTTCCATTGTTTATCAGGAAAATCAGGTGTGCTCCCAACTTTTACAATGACTGCAGGCTTTTAGGGGCCCAATTTGATAGACCTTGGTCTGCCCTATCTGTTCAGACCCAACAGGGTGCAATTCATTTGTCATGGCTGACAGTCCAATATTTACTCAGTCAAAATGTGGAACTCAGAAGGAATTGCTGACAGTCATCTCAGGTGATACTAGATTTTGCCATCTGACCAGGATAAGTGGAAGGAGGGCCTTTCTAGCCGAATGCAGGCAATGGCTAGCTGAAAACTAATTCAGTTGGCTGGAAATAGACGAGTTGGGAGCAGGGAGTGAAGCTATAGGTGTTGACAGCAACTGCAACAGCCAATGAGGGTGGCAAGGCAGAATTCTCAGAAGAATGTGCCTCTTTTTCCATTTTATTTTATTTTATTTTATTTATGTATTTATTTATTTTGAGTTGCAGCAAATGGTTTGGTTTTACTTTTAATTCTGTAAAAGTCCCTTTTCCTGCAGTCAGGGACTTAGGGGTTTTAACTGATTAGTTCCCATTCTATCTCTTTGTGGTGCTGTGTGCGCTTGAATGATAGCATTATAGACAAAAGGTGGGTACCCCTCAGAGACTATTCAGATGCCTGCCTGGTTGCACCCCTGTGGGGATTTAGGCACGACTTTGTTAAGGACTTCATTAAGGCCTCTGTTATGTCATATGTTGATCACCATGGAACTGCAGGTGAGGGCCCCTGAGACCACTGCTTCTCAGTTTTGTTGCACAGGCAGAGTGGCCTATTGTTTACACTGTCTGTTCTTTTCTTTTACATATCTACTCAGCAGACACTCAGAGTTTAAATATTTAAACCTTCTTACCCTTGAGTGTGACCTTAGCTAACAAGACTTAATCAAGCTGTTCTTCTGCTTGAACTGAGCAGGGCTGATGAACTGACTAACTGGGGTGCCCCTGTGGGTCTTAGCAGAATCAGGCAGGCAGACAGATAGACAGATTGTGTGCATCTATCTTTGAGGTCTGATGTGAGCCACTCAAGCTTTCATATGATGCCTAAGCATGAGGTACAAAGGTGAGACAAAACCTGGCGTTCTTTCTGGTTAGCTAGCAGGGTGAGATCTTTGGTTACAAGGGTAGATTAATGTTCATCAGTTCATAAAGCTTGGAACAATGGTACAACCAGGCATCCTGTATGTTTGGTCATGTTCTCATGGTTGCAAGGGTCAAGAAAGTAATTTCAAAACCACGAAACAGTTACAGAGCTAGGCAGTTTCAAAAGAACAGAGTTTTAAAAAGATTTTCTCACACAAAGGTTTTTCCCTTTCACTATCTCAGCCTCCCACAGTGCTGGGGAGTACAACAAGCCTGCTTCCACCTGCAAGCAGTTCATTGTTACTTTCATTTGGCCTCATCCACCTCACTCTTTCTGTCTTTTCTCACTGAAAACTCGTGGGATGTTTGAGGTTTAGGGCATCTTCCGGAGTTCTCTTCACTCCTTGTGTTTTTATCCTGCTCCTGGCTGTCCAGCTTTCTCCACGCCAGTTCCATGCCATCCCAAGGCATCTTTCTAGTTTGTTCCTGGGTGCTCGGCCACTGTGGTGGCTGATGTGACTTACCATGGGAAGCTTGCCCTGTGACAATGGAAGTAAAGCCATTTCTGCCGATTTTTCTTCTGGGGGACACTCTCTCCTCTCTGAAGCGTATCTCCATCTTCTGAGATTTGTCTTTATCACAGGCTCCTCCTGTGGAAGAGTAGCCATTTCCTTTAGTTCTTGGTTTCTTCCTACCCAGGAAAATCTAAGTATTAGGAGATGGTGGGGATTGGCTTGATGGCCTGGAAGCCCTTGTGTTGACATGGCCGCAGTGTGAAGGCACTGCAGTTGAAGAGAGAAAAAATGATTCCTTGGTGCCAGGAATCATTCATGATGCAGCAGGCTAGTTCTTTTCAGCCAATTGGCTTTGTCTAGTCTTGACTTGGAAGCGTTTCTGAGATGTGGTTTTATATAAATCATCAGATACCAGTACAGTCTTAGCTTTTTCTTGATTGTTCTTGTCAGTATTTGTGTTTTTGTTTCTCTTGCTGTGGACCCTGCTGTATTCCTGGCACCCTCACCAGCTGGATTCCTCTCTCCGTTTAGTCCTTCTATGGCCAGCTACAGTTAGTAGTCACGTCTACTCCAAGAACTTAGTTAATGATCAAACAAAATTATGTGTAATATTCAGAGGCAGTAGAGAGATGCTTTCCTTTGACAGATTTCAAACTTTTTGCCTGTGATCTATAAGAAACAAGTATTACAATATGGCCACTTGTTTGTGTGCATGTATCCTTTGAGCACATGACTGCCGTGGAGGTCTCACAGGGTGGAACCCACTGTCATACACATTCTGTGTCTCCATTAAAGAAGGCTGTGTTTCACCTAGTTCTTTTATTTTATAATTCATTAATAGGTTCCTGGGAGTTTAACAGATTTCTGCTCACTGAAACCACTGGTGATACATGCGGTACCCAATCCATTGGGTAGCATGAGATGATCATGCACATGTGAGCCCATTGTGAAGGTGTTCCGAATGCTTGGTTCCAGTTCACGTAGCACAGAGAGATAGTCTCTTGGGGAGGGGATCCTGGAGAAAGTGAGGAGAGGCATTTCCTCGGGTGCTCAGGCCCTATGAGTAGCCTGTCATCTTGGGGTGTAACACGCACACTCCGCTTCCACAAAGATGCAGGTGTTTAGGGGCTTTGGTTGGCTCACAGATTGAGGAGAAAAGTAACAGCCTCACCCCACACAGTCATGACACTTCTGAAGCCAGCTAAGGAGTGGGCCATGCCTCAGCCTCCTCCTGCCCGATCTGTTCCATCAGGACAAGGCCAGCCTTCATTCCACAGCTCCTAGATTTCCCCCAGCTGCCTGCCTCTGGATATGAAGTGCTGTGGAACTTACCTACGTGTGACTCACTGCCTAGAACCCACCACTTCCTGTGATGTTTTTGGTAGAGATTTTGTCATTCCTATAGAGGCTCCTTTTCCATACTGTTAGCCATCAGGAAAGTTTATATTTGTAATTCAATGGAAACATTACTGGAATCCTGGTGAATTAATTTCAATCTGTCACCTCTAGTACAACCCACAGCAAGCTTAAAAACATGAAGACATTTAGAGTTAAGGGCAGCCAAGAGTTCCTGAGCCCAGTCCAAACGAGGGTTCACGAAACAAAAGCCTTGACCCCAGGCCTAACCTGGATTTTATTAATTCGTGAAGAAGGGAGTGGCTGGAAAGTTAAGTGACTGTGAGAAAGGCAAAAATTACATGAATACTGTGAGCTGAGCTAGCTAGGAAGCCAGAAAGCACCTCAGCAATATGCAGAGAAAAGTGTATGTGGAAAGACCAATCCACATCATATAACTGAGGTAGCACTTAATGTTTAGGAGGCTGTTGCTTAAGTTTCTGATGTATAAACTTTTGTGCCCTGGGAAATCATAGCCTCTTATTTTGAGGCTTGAACTCAGTTGCCAGCCTTGGAACTATATGGCTCTGCCATCCCACCAGCTCAACCATTTAGTGGGAGACACTGAGATGAAAAAACAGTTGACTGTCAGCTGTCTTCAAAGATTACGCATCAGTGCCTCAGCTAGCCCTGTTTAATTGCTTAGAGCCAGTTGAAATGAAAGGAAATAGCCAGCTCCATACATATCAGTACATGGAGGCAGTGCTAGGTTTAGCCAAAGTGGAGGTGATTGTTCTGTGTTCAAGGAGAGCTGTCCAGGTGGTTTTGTACAGTTCCAACTAGTCAGTCCCATGAATCATTTGAAAAGTTTCATTATGAGTTCACCAAAATATAATTTTTTATAATTCAGTGATTGTACTGAACTGTTGTCCATCCTCTCCCTGTGAGGGTGCTAAATTTTTACAGTAAAAACAGGTGTGTATTTTTCATAGGAAAATGTAGCTGAGTGTCGGGAGCTGTAACTTCTAATTCACTGGTTCAGTTTATGTTCAATGTATGTTATAACCAGATCCTATGTAGTATCCTGATTTGCAGCAGTGTGGAGACATGCCAGACTGTTTTGTGGGTAAACTTACTGATATTTATTTTATCTTTTCAAGGGCTACAAAACTTTACAGAGGAAGCCTAATTGCACTCTGCATTTCCAATGTATTCTTCATGCTTCCATGGCAGTTTGCTCAGTTTGTGCTGCTAACCCAGGTGAGGTGATCATATTGAAAAACTGATTTGAGCTTAGCATGTTTAACCTTGTGAAATCATTCATAGAAAATAGGTAAAACATTATTTGATTAAATCCTAAAACCTTTCTACTTAATGTTTTTAAAGAATTCAGTATAGATTTATTTGTGAATATATATTAGTTATTTACTTAGTAGAATATATATTAGTTATTTACTTAGTAGATGCATTTGTTGGACTGATGTTTATTAGAGTGCTCATCTTCGTTACTTAGCATTTGTCGTCATGCTTAGAAAGAGGTCTGGTACTGTAACTTAGGGCTGTTTCCCTTCAGTCAGTAAGCTGTATTACAAGCAAAATGTGTTCGTTTATGATTGGCACCCCATTGCCTCCCATGTAGAATAAACCTGCATAGATAGCAGGATAAATACCTAACGTGTTCCAGTGTCACTGCACCCCCTGCCACCAGTCTACGTGTCTGTCCTGAGCATTTGCCTCTCAGCCAATAGAGGAGAGTAAAGGAAGGCAGCCTATGGGGACAGGGACGATGCTGTGTGTTCATCTCCCTCCCTGCTGTTTCTGTTTGTTTTCTTTTGTGCTGGACGTGGCTATACAAAGCAATTGATCAGTGCTTTTTTTTTAAAGAAGAAAATTGCTGGCTTTTAATCATTAACTTTAGGATGCTATTTTTAAAATAATTTCTCCCTTTTTTGCTTGTGATGCATAATTAACACATCATTGTGGGGAGCTGGTACCTGCACTGTCACATCTTAATCCTTTTCCTTGCTTTTCCCCTCCCCTCTCCTAGTTTCCTAGTGTTGATTTTCTATTTTGATTTTTAAGTCATTTATTCTTCAGATCTCACGCAAGAGAAACTGCAATTTTTTTTTTTTTTTCTTTTTGTCTTTTTTCCTTTTTACCGGTACTGGGGATCAAACTCACGACTGCCTGCTTGCAAGGCAGGCGCTTATGCCGCTGAGCTAAATCCCCAGCCCCGAAACTGCAATATTTAACCTTCTGTGTCTGATTTACTTTATTTAGCATTATGGGTTCTTTTTTTTTTTTTTTTTTTTTAGTATTCTTTTGAATGTGTTGCTTCAGAAGTGAACTCAGAGCTGGATTTGAGAGCTAAGTGTTCACTAGTTTCTTGACGTGGACAGAAAACTTAGCTGTTCTTAGTTTCACCTTTCTCATTTCTGCAATAGGGAAATTAAAAGAACTTTTGCTATAGAATCAGATGAGGTGTAAGATTCTTAACACAGCACCTGTTACTTAGCAGATGTCAGTCAAGCGACTTATCATTGCTTTTTAGAAACTGGCTTAACATGTGCTGACTTCTTCCTTTGATCTTACCCTTTAGAGTCTTTTGTTTTAGTGTGATGATGTTTTAAGTCCATTTCTGGTTTAAGTTGCCGCAAAACCCTCTCTGATTTTCCTTTAGATGTGTGGTAAATTGCTTAGCCTCTAGGGTGGAGAGGAGTCTTTCCTTCGCTTTCAATGCAGGAGATGGCCTACTCTTTGATTTCTTTTTGGGGGTTGTATTTTGCCACTCTATGGGTCTCACACTCCCCTCACACACACACAGTAACTCTTGGTCAACCCAAATAATGTAGTTCTCCCCATGGCTGATGAACGAAGGTCCTGAAGGGACAGCTTTCTATTTTTCTTTTTAATGATAAAATTTGTTATATTACTTGGATATAGGAAACTGGGTAAATGAAACTTAAGTTATTGTTAAAGTTCTGTCTGTTGTGCAGTGTGCCCGTGCTCTGTTCCTGTAGTAGGCAGGGCAGTTTGGCCTCAGTGACTTTCTTTGTGCAGAAAGCTGGAGAGGCACTGTCTGCATGCTGCTTCTTTATAAGAGACACAGTGTCACCATTGCATTAGTTGATTCATCCATAGCGTTCTAGTGTTCTTAGGGTTCTTAGTAAAGAACATGTAGTTTTCTCCAAAATGGCAAAGAAAATTAAAAATGCCTTCATAGTGAAAGTAGTCCTTCTAATTGGAAATTCGCTTAATTTTATTATAACTAATGCTTGAGTATCCACATTAATGAAAAAGAACATTAATGGAGATACCTGCAGATGGTAACTAAGAAGCAGAAATTAAGTTTTATACAAACATGCATTTCCTAATTATTTTTGAGTGTACTGTTCCTGTCCTGGAGTCTTTCCTCTTGTTCCTGAGACAAAGTACTTGATACTCAAAGTTAAAGGGGAAAAAGCTTATTTAGCTCAGAGTTTGTAGAGGTTTCAGTCTATAATTTGCTGCCTCCAAGCCATGGGGACATGGCAGATGTGCATCATAGAGGAGAAACACTTCACAGCAGACCGAAGGTAACAAAACAAGCTAGCAAGGGGCAAGCCTCTTTCTGTCCCTTATATTATATCCAAGCTACCAAGATTAGGGCAGTGCCAAGCCAATCAGTGGACTAACTTAATAGCCACTCATTCTTAATCCTAGTACCCTTACTCCTAGCATTACACCCTGAATGAATCACAGGCTCAATATCCAGCCACCTCTGAGAAAGCCCTACATACGGCTCTATGAGGCTTTGTGAAGACTTCTAGACACAAGCTGTAGGAGACGACCTGGGCAACTCCCCTTGAATGCAGAACAATTGCTTCAGCATTAGTTAAACCAAACCCTGTTAGCATGTACTAATATGTGCAGAGCTGGCTATGCTATTTCCATCTCCCTTCCATTGGCTCTAAGCACTACAAATAAGGCTAGCTCAGGTACTGGTACATAATCCTTGAAGTCAGCTGACAGTTTCCTGTTTCATTGACATATTTCCTCTATACAGTTGACCACAGTGGCATGGCAGAGCTATTTAGCTCCAAGAATGTCAGCTGAGTTCAAGCCTCAAGATGAGAGGCTGTGACTTCCCAGGGCACAAAAGTTTACCTATCAGAAACTGAAGCAGCAGCCTTCTAAATCATTCAAAAGCTACCTCAATCAAGTTATACAAATTAGTCTTTCTGCATATCCTTCTCCTTGCATATTGTAGAGGTGCTTTCTCTCTACCTGGCCAGCTCAGCACACATTATGTAATTCCCACCATTCACTCATCCTTGACCTACTTTCTTCATCATGAGTTAGGTGACGCCTTTGATCAAGGCCTTTATTCCACGTGTCCTCTCCAAGACTGGACTCAGGACCCTTTGGCTGCCCATAATTTTGAATGTATCTTAGTGTCTTTATTCTTGCCCTGGGTTGCGCTGTAGGTGGTAGACTGAAATTAAATCACCAGGATTCCAATACTGTTTCAGTGGGATTACAAATATAAAATTTCTCAAGCCATAAAGAAGACCAAAAAAAGGCATTAAAATATTTAGATTAACAATAAGAAGCCATTATATTTCTTTAATTATGTATTAGTAATCATGTTGAAATTACATTTTTATCTATTTTTTTGGACTGCGTACTTTTAATTGTACATATTGACCTCAGAGTCAACCTGATATTGAAATGATTTGTTTTAGTTAATCTATAAAGCAGATAATTCCTATGGGTACTTGAAATAGGTGTGTTTGAGAGAGGAAAATCAGCCAGGATTTGCTATCTTGTTATACTGACCATATTTGATAATAAAATGGTAAAAAGATAACTAAAGAACTCACTTCTGTATAAATATAAATCAGTTTGAAACAATAAAATCTTTATCCTTAAGGGATTCATTTTAAATCTGTGATTTTACTTTTAATTTAATTTCTTTCTAAATTTTAGGTTGCCTCCTTGTTTGCAGTATATGTCGTGGGGTACATCGATGTCTGTAAATTACGGAAGATCATTTATATACACATGGTAATGGTTTGTTCATCATTTATTTACCATTTAGTTTGACCTTAACATTGACTAGTATGTGATTTGGCCTTTGTTGAAACTAGTTGTGATGTAATTTTGTAGCTATGGCCAGAGCCATTCAAGTGTTATGACACCAGCAGTGGACCACCCAGATTTTAATTTGGCAAATGTTATCTGATTGAGATTGTGGCAAACCTTTTTATATATTAAAAGAAAGAGAAATTAATGAAACAAGAGTAGGGGGTTGTGTGACCCTCTGTATCCAGCTGTTAGATGAAATGGGGTGTCACAGAGACCTGCAGTCCGATCCCGGAACACCAGTGCCTGGAGTACAGCAGCCTGCACTCAGCGGGAAGTAGGGAAATCAGTGTGACCATGCAGATTTGTATGGCCTGTTTGATAATGATAAGAATTACAGGACAAAAAAGAAAAAAGGCAAATCAGCTCTGATAGGAGTGTCCCTGTCAGGAGCAGGAGATGAGGGCATGGGGCAAGGTAGTCCTGCAGGTTGCCTTGGAAGGTATGGAGTGGGTAGGGGCAGGGAGGAGCCAGTGAATGTGGCAGAGGGGCTTTCCAAGTGGGGGAGCTGGAACGGGGTCCCAGGCTGCTGGTTGGTTAATACTGGCAAATGACTGATACCTGAAGACATCTGTGCTCTCTCAGCATTAGTTACACACATATGTATGTGTCAGAGGTTTTCTTTTTTTGATCATTTTTATTATTATTATGTCATTATTGCTTTTTAATCCTCTAATAATTGCTACATGTATATGACATTTAAGGATAGGGAAGCTGCAACACAGAAAATAAACAGCATGAGCTGTTTTTCCCTCCAAGAAAACAGCTTTGTCCTGACTGTGAAGTCATGTGTGCCCTAAACGCACCCCAGGGGCTGTCCCTGTCCTGTCTCTAAAATGCCATTGACCTGCTTTTCTTCAAAACCGCACTGCGCATGTGTCCTGGGAGTGGCACCATTTTTATTATCATATATTAGCATAGTCTTCAAGATTTGCACAAACGGCATCTTTATGAGACAGGTTTTTGAGGCTTATATGCAACTGGAGTTGAGATATTTTCACTGCTTTATATTTAACACTGTATGCATAAATTTAGCACATTTGGGTATCCATTTCCTTGTCAAAGGACTTCTAAATTCTTTCCTGTCTGCTCCTGTGCCTCCTTGTTGTTTATGAATAATGCTGTGCCTTGTACAGGTCTCTCCTGGTCATGTATGTGAAGAGTTCCCCGGTGTACACTTGACAGTGGACTTGCTGGGGCTAAATTATGCCCATGTTCAGCTTCATAAGTATAGAAATATTTATTTTGAAATGATTGGGCTACTTCAAACAGCAGTATATAACAACTATATTATTCTGCATATTTGTAAACTTTTTGTCAATCTGGTTGGTATGAAATGGTTTAAACTGAGCATGTTTTGGTATGTTTGTAGACCTTTTGTATTTTGTGTTTTCTTGTGATATTCCTATTTAAATCTCCTACCAATTTTTCTCAGCTATCCAAGAGAAATTTTTAAATAAATTTGGTATTTTCTTTTTTCTGATAATTTTTATTGACTGTGTCATTATTTTTGTTCTCTAAAGTGCATGTCAGATGCCATCTAAGTGTAGAGAAGTTGTGACACAGTTACAAAGCAGAGGAAAGGGAGAGAAAGTGGCGTCTGCTCTGTTGGGAGCAGGAGAGCCGGTTTCGTCTTGGTGTTACTGTTGCTGCTCAGATTGCTCCAGGTTTGCCCTCTGTTCAGGCTGCCGCCTCTGTCTTTGCAACTTGTCCGTTTGCTTTGCACAGCTTAACAGAGAAATTAGTGAGTGTTAATTTTTCATGGAAGGCTTTCTGCATCTACTTAGATCTTCCTTTCCCTCTTTAATCTGTCACTGTATGAATTAACATAAATTGATTTTCTAGCACTAAAAGCGCCTTACTTTTCTGGGCTAAATGCAATTTTTATATATCACTAGACGCAGTTTCCTAATGTTTCTCTAGGATTTTTACATCTCTTTAGGTGACTGGGTTAGACTCTCATGAAAAAACATACTTGGCTTATTTTGTTCCCAGACTGGCTACTACAGTGTTTTTTTGTTTTTTCATTTAGCAACACAAACAGAATAAATGTTAAACATTTAGAGTTGGGCAGTCACAGGGTCGTCTATGCAATTATGGATGAGGACTGATTCATAAAGAGTTACAAAGGCACTAAAATTGCATAGGTTTTCGTCTGTAGTAGAACCTATCTTGGATAAGTGAAGTGTGGTTTATGATATGATTTACTAGCTACTTGCTGTCTCCTTTATCAGTTTGCAAATTCCTAAATTCTTATTATTTCATAAGAATACAGAATTACCTCAAAAATACTTTTTAATGTGTTTGTTTTTTTACTGTGGTACCATCTTAGACATGGCAGAGTTTTTCACCTTAGGCCTGTGTAAGCGTTCAGTTTAGTGGTTTAAGTCTGTGTACTGTTCTGAGAGCTTTACCATCATTGATCTCCAGACTCGTTTCTTGCAAAGTTGAAACTCTACCCAAAAACAGCTACTTCTTCTCCCATTTCCCCACCCGCTAGGAATCACCATTCTACTTCCTGTCACATTTTGACTCCCTTATCCTATATATAGGTCATGCAAGTCGAATGATAAAGAAGAATTTTCTTGTGACTGGTTTATTTCACTTAGCATAATGTTCTCAGGTTTCTTCCATGTTGTAATAAGTATCAGTGCTGCATGCATTTTCATGGATAAATGATGTTCCACTGTCGGTATACGTTAGGTTTGTTTTACCCATTCATCTGTCTATGGACACTTGGGTGGCTTCCAAGTCTTATGCTGCTGTGAACATGATTGTCAGATACCTCCTTCACACACTGCTTTCTGTTCTTTTGGATATGTGCCCAGAATGCAGTGGCTATCTTGGCCCTGTGCTAATCTCTTTTTAATTGTCTGAGGAACCATGAGACTGTATTCTGTTTTCTGTTCCCTCCAACAGTGCACATGGGTCCTGACAGCTCCATGTCATCTTCATTTATTTCTTTTTTTCTTTTTATTATGGGCATCCTGATGGCTATGAAGTACTAATCTCATTGTGGCTTTTGTTAATTTATAATTAAAAGACTACTTTGTAGAACTCTTTTAGGTTTCTAGCAAAATTAAGCCGAAAGTCCAGTTTTCATATTTCCGGCCTGTTTGTATATGCTCTTTCCTTGCAGTTGACGTCCATGATTTTTAAAGCTGACAGACCTGCAGTGACACTCTGGTCATCCTTGGTCTGCAGTATGCCTAAGGGTCCACCCTTGGTCTGCATTCTGTGAATTTTGACAGCTGTGTAAGGGTGTGCACCCAGCCTTGCAAAAGCATAGGGAGCCATCTTCCACCTACACAAACATAGTCCCCCTGCTTCCCCGACTCCTAGGAACCTCTGATCTCTTTGTTGTCTTCAGTTTGGCCTTTTCCAAAGTATCTCATCTTTGGAACCTCATAGTGTGTAGCCTTTGCAGGTTGGCTGCTTTTGCTTAGTGAAATGCAGTGAAATTTGCTGCATGTCTTTGCATAGCTCAATGGTTTGTTTTAGCTCTGAGAAACATTCTGAAGATGCAGCAGTGTCAGTTTTATCCATTCACTGAGGAAAAAGGCCGTTTGGGTCAGCTCTTAGTTTTGTCAGTGATGAATCCACTGTTGTAAACATTTGCCTGCAGGCTTTTATGTAGATCAGAGGCTTTAACTTCACTGAGCTAAATACCAAGGAGAGTGACTGTTGGATCGCACAGTGAGTATATGTACTTTTTAGGAAACTGCAAACTGCCTTCCGAGTGGCCAGGCCATTTTCCTCCCTGTGGCAGTGGGTGACAAGGTGTGCTCCCCAGCCCGCCACCAGGCCCCATGTTGCCAGTGGGAATTTCAGCTGCTGTAATGGCCACAGAGTGGTAACTCGTGGTCAGTCCCCTACTGGTCAGCATGTTGTTTGGCATCTGACTTGTGCGGTGTCATGTCTGCTAAGGCTTTTGCAATTTCCTGTTTGCTAATTATTGGTTTTTAAGAATTCTCTGTGTACTTTGGATATCAGTCTCTTTAACAGACGTGCCATTTGCCGACCCTTCACTGCTAGCCTTGTTCTTGTGACCTGGGCTTGCTCAGAGCAGGGGATGATAATTTAATGCAGCTCAGTAGCTCAGTTCTTTTGCTTCCTGTGTTGTCTCTCAAGAGTTGAGGCTGTACCTGCAGCCGTTTGAGTCCCCCAGCGTTAACATCCTGGGGGTGTTTAGTAGTGCTGCAGTGGACATAGAGATCCATGGCCCATGTCCAGGTAGTTTTTGTGAAGACCAGAGGTATGTGCCTAGATTTGACTTTTGTGCTGTGTGGATGCTCTATTGTTCCAGCACTATTTGTTGAAAAGACTATTTTTGCTCCATTTTTTACCTTTGTTCCTTCATCAAAGATCAATTAATTCTCTGTATAGGTCAGTTTCTATACTCTGTACTTGGTTTTATTGATTTCGTTCAGCAGTGCCGCGCCATTTAGCTTTATAGTAAGCGTTAGGCTTACTATAGTTAGCGTCAGGCTTTGTCCTGCTTCAATACTGAGTTGGTGCTTTTGGGTCCTTTAATCTCCATATAGATTTGAGGGTCACTGTGTCCATAATCACAGAGTGACTTGCTGGGACGGTGCCTGGGGTGTGTGGAATCTGCAGATGAAGCTGGAAAGAGTGGGCATTGTGGCTCTTACATCTTCTTATCCGTCATGGACTTCATTAATTTTGTTACTATTTGGTATCTTTCATCAGTGTTTAGTAGTTTCCTTCGCAGTGCCCTTAGACATTTTGTTAGATTTATACGTATTTTATCTTTGTTGAGTGCTAATGTGAATGGCAGTGTTACTGATTTCAAATTCCACTTCATTCATTATTGATAGATGAGAAAGCAGTTGACTTGCACAGTAACCTGTGCCTGCAGCCTTGCTCTAATTTCTGATAGAAGTTTTTGCTGATTTTTTGGATATTTTTCATGAATAATCATATCATCTCTTTAAAGTTTTATTTCTTCCTTCCCAATCTTTATCCCTTTTAGTTCCTTTTTTACTGTGTTTTCTAGGCCTCTGTTGCAATTCTGAGAAATAGCAGAAGGAGGGAACTTATTTGCCTTTTCCAGATCTCCGAAGGAAAGTGGTTTCTCTCAACTAAGCTCATGCTGTCTGCAGGTGTTTTGTGAACACTTTTTTTTTTAAGAGAAGAAAAAAAAATAGAAAAGAAAAACAAAAGAGACAGACAACAACTACAACAACAAAAACTCAAATCAATAACAATATTGGCTTTCAAACAAAATGATTGGCATTTAACAGTAGCTGTTACATGTGTACATTCTGTATCAGCTAATCAAATTTCCTTCTTTTCCTAGTTTTTTGAGATTTTTTTTTTATCCTGAGTGTTATCATGATTGGGTGTTGGATTTTGTCAGATAATTTTCCCTGTATCTGTTGATACGATCATGTACTTTTTCTTTAATCTACATTAATTGCTTTTAAAATATTAGCCCAGCCTCAAATACCAGGAATAGTTCTTATGTGGTTGTAGCATATGATTCTTTTTATGTGCTCTTTGATTTGATTTACTAATGTTTTGTGGATATTTTTTGCATTCATGTTCATAAGAGATACTAGCCTGTAGATTTGTTTTTTGTTGTTTTGGTTGTTGTTTGTCATGTCATTGTCTGACTTAGTGCTAAGCTAATTAGCCTCATAGATGAGCTGGAAAGTATTTCTCACCTTCTGTCTTTCAGAAGTGATTGTTGGGAGTTGGCATGATTTCTTCCTTAGACAAGAGTGTTCTGGCATATTTCACAATGGTCCCCTTTTCCTTCCCCTGCAGAGGCCCAAAGGGGTTTTCCTCTGATACCTATTGTGATGACCTTGGGAACTCTTGGGGACAGAATTCTCAAAAATGTGGGTGTCTCATATGCCAGAGTTCACCGTAGCTTTAACTTGCGGAATTGTCCTTACTGAACTTCTAGCAGTCACCAGTTATAGGTCAGGTTTTCCTATACTTTGTGTGTGTGTGTGTGTGTGTGTGTGTGTGTGTGTGTGTGTGTGTGACATCCTGGGGATTGAACTCAGGGCCTTCACATGGAGCTACATCCTAAGCCCTTTTTACTTTTTATTTTGAGACAGGTTCTTGCTAAGTTGCTGAGTTTCCCAGGGTGGGTACAACCCTGTGATCCTCCTACTTCAGCCTCCCAGGGTGCTGCTATCACCCAGCCAGGTTTGCTTATTCTTGTACTGGTTCCCACCATGGTTCTGTTCACTGGATTATGCCCCAGTAAGTTGCGATGCTGTGTCTGCCTGACTCTCCTTTTTGCTCAGCAGTGTGCTCTGTGACTGCTCTTCTTTGTTAGAGCTAAGAAAAAAATGCTGATTTGTCAGTTTGTTTTTCTGAGTTTTTTTGTTTGATGGGACCTGCTGGCAACTTTTACAATCCGTATACCCAGAACCTCCAATGTGGTTTGGATTTTCCTTAACCTATGATTACTTAGATTGAACATTTTTCTGTGTGCTTCTTGGCAATTTATATATCTTCTTTGGAGAAAAGTCTTCTAGCTACTCATTGTTGGATGAGTACACTTGCATTGAGTGTAGGAGTTCTGCATATAATCTGCTAATCCTTTATCAGACACAGTTTGTAAGTGTATTCTCTGAACATTTTAACAATATGGAATCTTCTAGCCCATGAGCTTGGGTTTCTTTCTGTTACTTATATCTTAGTTTCTTCGAGGAAAAGTTCCTTTTAGCTTCCATTGTAAAAGGCTTATAAATCTTTAGTTAATTGTGTTGTATTCTTTTTGATGCTGCTGTTAAATTATTTTCTTTCTTTTTTATATAATTACTTGTTAGAATAAAGAAATGCAGTTTTTGTTTGTTGACTGCTATACTTTGCTAAATTTCTAAGTGTTTTTTTGTGCAACTATTGAGCTTTTTCCCATATAAAATAACATTATTTCTGAACAGAAAACATTTTGCTTATTCCTTTCTAATTAGGATTTGTTTCTTCTTCTTCCCTAGTTTGTCAGTGAAGCAGGGTACAGAATCAACATATTAAAAAAATAAAATAAAACTTGTCTAAACCAAGCCTCAGCTTTTCTCTGACAAAATCAATTTCCTTTGAACTGTTTTTTCTCTTACTTAATGACAAATCTAACCTTCTAGTAGTTAGTCATAAGTTTCAGCGCTTACAGCAATGAAATTAGCACTTACTGTCATGAAATTTTGAGAGTTTGTGTAACAGCCTCAATGCCAAAGTTTCTACAGCCCTCACCCATTCATTAGTGTGTTCTGTGGCCCAGCATCCAGCATGTCAGTGAGCTGCTGCTAGAATCCGGGCCACAGTGAGTGGCCTCGTGCAGCAAAAGCTTCAGAGTGCTGCTGAAAGAAATCAGGAAAACAAATTCTCTAAAACTTACTTCTAGGTTTGAAATCGTATGTCTGTCCCTGGCCTCTTCCTTTAGCATAGAACCTTTCCTCCGCCGTGGGACGTCTTCCTTCCTTCTGAAACCTTTTACTCTGCAGTTTGGGTAGTAGATACAACAGTTCAGATAATGTACATTACTAAATAAACAATTTTAATAAAAATACCAGCTTGTGAAATTTAAGCTAGGGGTTGGGGATTTAGCTCAGCGGCATAAGCGCCTGTCTTGCAAGCGCATGGTTGTGAGTTCAGTCCTTGGTACCGAGAAAAAAAAAATTAAGCTGATTCCAAAATTCACATGGAAATTGATACATTGATGAAAGATAAAACTTCTAGAACTAAATATGAATTTATTTTAAAAGAATTTTTTAAGTTCCAGAGGTAAATCCTGAGGACCTAAAAGAAATATATGATAAATTTAACCACCATAAAAATTTATGATAGTACAAAAATATCACAAAGATAAAAAACGAAACTGGGAAAAATATTTGCAGTATATTTGCTTGAGAAGGAGCTGTGTCTGTAGCATGTGACATACCCGTAGGATGTACATTAAGGATGTTGATCTTAACAGGAAAAGCAAAACAACACAAAACAGATCAGGAAAGAACTTAAATGTTGAACAGCACACAGAGAGCTAGTTAAGTAAATCATGGCACATCTACAGAATAGAAAACAGTATTTTTTCTTGGTGCTTAGAGTGAGATTGGATTGGATTGCTATGGAAAGCCCTCATATTAAGCGTAGAAGCAAGGAACAGTATAACTTAGATGTAGATTCCCATTTATGACCATAAACTAAAATACAAACTAAAGTTCACTCCTGTTGCTTCCTGGGAAGGGCACACAGGAAGCTGTCTCTGAGGGTCTCTGGAGCCATGACGTGAGGGACAAGAGTGTGCTGCCTTCACCACGTAGCCCATGTTTATTGTAGGCCTTTTATCACTGTGTGAGCCCTACGATCACCGTTTCACTTTTTGTTTTACGTGTGTTAATGGTATTTTTTCTTGGATTTTTGCAGATTTCTCTCGCGCTGTGTTTTGTTCTGATGTTTGGGAACTCGATGCTGTTGACGTCTTATTACGCTTCCTCTTTGGTAACTATTTGGGTAAGTGTCGCTTAAGAACAGGGCTTATTGGAGTCTGAAGGGATCCACGTCTCTGTCCCTGGCCTGGAATTGATGAGGGCATTCCCCAGGCACAGTGTCCTGTCTTCCCTAAACCATCTGCCTGTGGCGGGAAGGTCAGGTGCTCACTCTGCAGCAGCGGGAAGGAGCAGGCACAGCGGGAAGCTAGCGCTCGCCCCACAGCACGTCTGCCCTTTCCCTTCCCTTCCCACAGTCCTCTCTTCCCTGTGTTTTGATCAGAAAACTATGTTTTCTTTTCCTTTTGTCACTGTCAGGCTAAATAGAAAGTCCAGATGGTTTTGCCTTTTTCTCTCTACTCATTCCCATCTAAAGCCCATGGGCCCATTTCTTGTACTTCTTAAATGGAAGGTTTTTTTGTTTGTTTGTTTGTTTTGAAACAGGGCTTTGCTAAATAGTTCAGGATGGCCTTGAACTCACTGCGTAGCATAGGGTGGCTTCAACCTCATGGTCTTCCTCCCGCCGCAGCCTCCAGAGTGCTGGGATTATGGGCTTGTGCCATCACACCTGGCTGTACTCTGAACTTTTTGAGTAATTTAAGTTACTAGGATTGTTATAGGCTTTTTTGATTTCTCAAGCTCCTTAAAAAAAAATGAAACCTGTTTTCCCCCTTTTTATAAATAATAATTATTCAAACTCCATATCCCAAAAATGTGCCTTTCCCCAGTCTGAGTCACCATCCTTATCATGTGTGTAAGAGTATATTTATCCCCAGAAATGAGCCCTTAGTATGTGGAGAAGCTGAGTTTTCAGAAGCAACAAAATTCATCAATGGAGTTGCTGTGCTTTGTTTGATACTTAGATTGAGGGGTTTTGTAGTGAGGAAATGTGACAGTGTACTCAGGCTGTTCTCACATGGACACAATGGCAAGTACTGTTACTGCTCGGTACAGACGTGACTGTCTGTGTTTGTGGGGGGAGCTGCTGAACTGGAAGAGCGTATGAAGCAAATCTGAATACATTTTTGAGGAAATTTCTCAGATTTCAGTTTGTAGGTGCAGGATGCCAGGTACTCCACTAGATGCCTGACAGCAGGGTGTTTCTTAGGCATGAATTAAGCACGTGTATGCATACTGCCTATGTCTCGGTGTGTTAAACGCATGGTCCCAAGGACTGTAGAATGCAGTGTGCTTAGGCACCTTCCCTTCACACACGTGCTTAACTGCATTTCATCATTTCAAAACCTAACTTGTGTCAACTTTTGTGTTCTCAGATTTTCAGAAAACTTTTTAAAATTAAGACTTAATTTGAGTTCAGAGTATTTGTATCTTGATCTCTAGCTATATTTTTGCTATGCTTGAAGTGGGAAAATCAGAAAGATTTCAAATTTGACAGAGACGTCTTTAACTGATCCATTTACTTTTTTACTTTATATTTTTATTAATACATGTTTGCAGTATACAATGATTCTGTTTATTGTGGGGAATTGGTACATGTACATAACACATCTCAGTTTTTTTTCACCCTTTCCTCCATCTCTTGGTTTATCCCAAGACTTAGTGACTCTTAGCTTCAGGAAAATTTAATGCCTGTTTGAGCACTGTCTAAAATTACTACATTAATATACCTCTTGGTTTTTAGACAAATCTGATCTGTAAAAAGCAGTCCTAGAAATCTGTATTTGACGATTCTCTTTTCAATTTTACAAAGTCATTAACTTACCTAATCTTCCTTTGAATAAAATAAGGCTCTTTTTTTAAGTCATTCACAACAGACATGAGCATGTCATGCTATTGTGCAAAAAGTCAGTAGAATGCTGGAATTTAGATTCTTAAAGGTGTAATTAGTTAGGGTAATTGTTATTTGGATTTGTGAGTATAAGTATTAACTTTTTTTTTTCCTGTTCAGGTTGTGCTGGCAATGAAACCATTTTTTATGAAAATAAATATATCAGAATTTAGTTTATGGGTAAGAATCAATCTATTTCAATGCCTACATCTTTTCTTCTTTAGAATATATAATTGGCTTTATGTTTTTTACTTATGTTTCGCTTTTTATGCAGGAGATCTAACAGTTATAATATATTGTAAACGCAATTTTCATGAGCCAGCTTGCCCTTTTCAGTTACAAAATCCCACTTTTGTGTATTTTATAATCCCCATGTTCCCTCTGAGGGGCAAACACATGTGTAAGAGATCATTTTGAAAGAGAATTTTCCTGCAATTCCTATGTGAGTCTCCAAATAAATACATTACTTTTGCTAATAAGATTGTATAAATATATTTTTGATTGTAGCCTTTAATTTTGGAGCCACTTTATTTTAAATTGAAATGCATTTTTGTCATTTTCTCTTAATGATACATTTATTTCAAATGTGGTAAAAGCATTTTTTTTTCTTTAGAGGTGCATTTATTTCATATGTAATTAAAGCATTTATTTATTTATTTTTTCATAGGCTATACTGTCTAAAGCATCAAAGTTAGTTTTTATATTTTATTTTTCTCTTGTAGGTTATCCAAGGATGTGTTTGGTTATTTGGAACTATTATACTCAAATCTTTGACCTCCAGGCTCTTTGGCATTGCCGATGATGTAAGTGCATTTTTATGGAAGCATGAAATTTGTGAAAGAAATAAACAGATTGGGAATGAATTATTTGAGTTATTAAAGTATTATTTTTATAACCAAATTCTAGCATGAAACCTATTCACCTATAATTTTATCTCTTTAATCTAATAGAAAGCAAATTATAATTCTGTATATAATTTTTATTTTCCAAAATTAATTTCTTGACACAATTATTTTATTGATCCCTGTATATCACTGAGACCATAAAAATTTAAAGCAAACCAGCTCTGGCGAGTGAAGCCTGCCCTCCTCCCCTTGCTTTCTGTGGGAGGTCAGCGCAGCCATAAAGGAAGCAGTTGGTGGGGTGCAGTGAATGACACAGAGCTGGCCATGGGCTAAGAGATCTTCAGTCCAGCACCCGCCATCTCTTCCTTCCTCTGGTTTCCTCTCCTGAACCCAGGATTATCCTCCCTTTCTTTACCCCCACGCCTCTGTCCCTGGCAGACTGAGAAGAATTTCAGTGAGCTCTGGGGTCCCCAGCCAGGAGAGGCCCTGTGCCTGTTTCACCAGGGTTAGTGCCATCCGTGGGAACAGCTGGAGGTCAAAGCCTTTGGTCTCCAAGAGTGTGGGAGGTGTGGTGCTGTTGGAGCTATTGCTTCCCAGCAAGAGCCTGGCAGCTGTAGGGTGGGAAGCTGACGCACAGAGCTCAGTCCCAAGTGGGGACAGGGAGTGGCTTTGCCAAATCTTCCTAAAGCCACTGAGAGTAAGATACATTATTACAGTGTTTGGCTTAATGCAATGATTTCTTATTTATTACCAGGCTCACATCGGCAACTTACTGACCTCAAAATTCTTCAGTTACAAGGATTTTGATACTTTACTATATACCTGTGCAGCAGAATTTGACTTTATGGAAAAGGAGGTAAGGGGTGACTTGTAACTGTTCCCTGAGGCTTTGGTTCATTCGTTGTGCGTGAAGGATGCCCTGTGATTTCAGGTTCTATGTGTGCTCATATCTCAGCTGAAAAGAAAATGATCTGGCAACTTAAAGACTCTCTTATTTATGTTGGTGCAGCTCCTTGAAATACACAGCTTCTTTTCATTTTGATGATTTGTAAATACACGTTCAGACCAGCCACCACTTTCGGATGTGTAAACAGAAGCGTTTACGGTTGCCTTGCTGCAGAGGCGTGTTAACTTAGCCCAGTGTTCAAGCCCCTGCATTCCTGCTTGTTTTCTGGTTGTTTGAATGATCTCACTGCTTTTAAGTATCATCAAACACAAGTGCTTCATTCCAACAATATTTTTCTTTCTAAAACTTTATTTAGCTGTGCAGAAGGAAATCAGTGTAGGTTTGTGGACCGTGAGACAGAAATCTACGGTGTCACTTAATGGTGACATCATCGACTTGCATTTGTTGTGTTATAGTTTATCAGTTTCTGGTAATATGCTACCAGTTGACATGGAAAGAAAATGAGCTAACTCAGAAAGGGGCTGTGATATTTTAAATAAGACATTGTTTTGTAGCACTTTATGAGCTGCTTTGTTCCACAAACACGTGTTTTGGTTTTTAAATGACACCCATGTGGCACTGATTTGTTATATTTTATTCTTGTCCAGTGCTGTATGTGTGTGACATTAAACTCCCCACGGACCTGTACACCACGTCCGAAGTGTCCTCTAACTCCTTCTGTGTTTGCTCTGTGCCACCATCTAGAGTTGCAGGTGTTCTGCAGGTGTCCTGCTTGGCCCAGCCAACAGTTAGTCTTCTACTGTTACATTTAGTGTTTTGACATACAGTGGCTGAAACGCTGGTTGAAAGGCTCAGAGAAAGAGCATCGTGTAAGAAACTGAAGTGCGTGTTCATAAGCAGTCAAGAGTCCTTCCAAGGAACTGGTCGTAGTGACAATAGAAAGGGAGAGGAAACAACGGTGGGGATGCAGATGTGATGAAGTCCCTTAGTGTTATCTAGGACATAGGGCATACTGCTGCAGCCCGAGGGTACTGTCAGCTCTGTGTGAAAAGCGTGGTTTATGAAGCTCAACAGGATGGCTCATTCCCATGTGCCATTCCCATCTCCTCAGATGTCTGACTGCAGGGACCACACTATCAAGGGTGTTCATGTAGGGAATGTGGCTCTTTTATTGTGGATCCGTACTGGGAATAAAGGACAGATTTAATGTGACAGTCCTACCATGACACCTATTGAGGTAGAAAGAAGCATGAGATGTGCACGGGAGGGGACACAGTAGTATGATCTTCTTTGCCTGTAACTAGCATATGTGATATGTAAGAAGGCAAAATTTAACAGTGGTGTAGGCTGTGGATCTAGGAGACAAGATCACAATATGTAGGACTTTGTTATTAAAACAGCTATCATTCACTAAAGAAAATATAAAAAGTCCATGAATAGTTGTCCTTATTTTGTATGTATGTATTGTATATTTTGTATGTATGTATTGTATGATGCTTGTGTGTGTGTATGTGCATGTGTGATGGCTTTAGATTTTTACTCCCCAGGAAATGTAACAGGGAAGCTGACCCATTTAACACTTTCTGCTTCCCTCAGATGCAGGAAGTCAGGCTGTAGACCAGCCCCAGGGAAAGGAGAGAGATCACTCTCTGGTCACCTTTCAGACTCACTCATGAGTATCTGGGAACTGCATTAGTGTTTGCTCCTCAACATTTGGGTGAAATTTGTTTATGGAGATACATGTTGATTTTTATGATGGGAGACAGTAGATAAATGGGACCCTTGATGCCTGAATATTTCATTTTTCTCTACTTATGCTTGAGAAATTCACCTGTTTCATTATTTGAAATGAAATTTCGTTTGGTTAAATAATGTTTTCCTCTAAACAAAGCATCTCTTTGAATTGCAGACCCCCCTGAGGTACACAAAGACGCTGTTGCTTCCTGTTGTTCTTGTAGTATTTATTGCAGTTGTCAGAAAGGTATGTCTGTCACTTAAAGGCTCTTTCTAATAATAACATTTTCTTGTTTGTATATAGAAGATACATATTCTTAGTGACAAGACTGTTTGTCAAGGTGCTTTGTGTTGATATATTGCAGCATATTCTGTAGTTTCTTACTGATAGCACATGATGAATATTCACAAGTCTTAGACAATTCTGCTATCTTCCAGCAGCATAAATAGATAGAAGAAAAGGATGATTCTAGTTTTGATGGCTGTACATTTTGAAAGTCACAATCAGAGAACTAGATACAACTTGGTGTTGACTGTTTATTACTGATGCTTTTTAATTGTTATGTAGTAGTTGCCTAAAAATATTTAATGTATGCCTTTGTAAATGTGCAGTGTCCAATGCCTCTAAATTGTGTTATTAACCACAAAGAAAAAATAGGAATTAATAATGTGTTGGTGAACTAGACATGTCAGGTCTCCAGGTTGGCTTTGACAGTGAAATTCTACTCCCAGATGTCAGTCAGGCTAGAGAAGCATCATTGTTCAAGGAGCAAAAGCGGGTGTGATGTTCCTGTTTGTTTGTTTATTTGTTTTAACAGTTTGTGGACTCTTCAGCTGCAGATGTCCAAAGTGCATAGATTGAGCTAAATCCATGATTAACAAAGAATGTGTAAAAGCTGTGTGATGGGTAGTCAGCGATTGATGTGGCTGTAGCACGTGTGTCTGTATTTGAAATGTGCTCAGTACTGTAGCCCCTGTCCACAGTATGCAGCTGCATGGTGCTTCATCCTCCCTGGGAGTATTCTCATGTGCATGTTGCTGCTGGTTGCAGGCAGTCCTGTGGGGGGACACAGACCATCACTTCATTTTGCAGGTGGTGTTTTGGAAAATCAGGTCAGCAAACTTGAGCCCCATGGGCATGCTGATGTGCAGCTCTTTGTGTGGCTGAGCTTTTCAGCTCCCCCAGGGGTGCTGGGTGCTGTGCCCGCTCAATGCCTCCATATTCCCAGGAGAAATGTACACCTAGCAGACTCCAGCCAACCAGAATGTTCCAAATGCAGCAGCCTGGACGCAAAACGTGGAAACTGCTAGATGCTATGCTCTTCCGGTTAGAGAAGAGATTCAAATAGAAAGGATAATTATTTTAAAATATTTAAGATCCTGTCATTGGAAAATTAGGTATTTCCTTGTAGCTCCTTGGAGTCGTGACTCATCCCAGGAGATAGGGGTTTTGACCAAAAATGCCCTGAACTAACTAGAAAGGTGCAGATTCAGGCAGCAGCAGAAGCTGTGTGATTCTTCCAGGGCGGGGCAGGTGCAGGCAGTTGGCAGAGCTGCAGGAACCCCTGTGCCGGGGACAGGACTTCAGACCTAGGCCCAGGTACTGCCGAGGGTGAAGGCACAGGAGTGCGTGTCAGTGCTGCTGGATGTGACTAAGGTCATGTAATTATTGTATTGTAAATGTTTTTTCTTATCTCATTTTTAAGTTAGAGCTTTTAGAATTCAGGAGATACTATATTTAAAATTCTGTTTTTTCACAGAACAGCAATTCTAAACTGTTTAAAAATCTTTTTATAGATTATTAGTGATATGTGGAGCGTCTTAGCCAAGCAGCAGAAGCAGACAAGGTAAATCTGCTCTTCAGCATTTTGTTGCCTCCCATTTGTTTGTAAACTGCCTGCCACAGTGTGGAGACTGTCCCTCCTCACGTGAGAGCTGATGTCTGCACGATTCCTTGTCCTTCCTCCTCGCCACGCGGAGCATAGCACGCCACCCCCATCCCTGGGCTCTACCCGAAGGGCACAGCTTTGTCACCTCAGCAGGGAAGATCAGGTGTCTTCTGAGTGCTTTGGGGACCAGTAGGCGTTTTGCCTTTTTTTATAGATATGAAGAGGGAAATGTGAAGCGGGACTCATAACTTAACATTTTACACAATATAAATTTTAAATGGAGCAAAGATGAAAATACAGTAAACTTTTAAAAGCCAGAAATTATGCAAGAGAGTTTGCATATCATCCGAGGTAGGGAGGCTTCGGAAGCATGATGTTAACACTTACATGCTGAAGGGAAACGCTGACAGCTGACCAAGTAAACTCTGGATTTGGCCTACAATTTGTAAACATGGTTCAAAGAAAACACAAAGTATTCACAGGGTATGATGTGGGACTGATGATAGTCACATGTAAAGAACTTCTGAAAGTTAAGAAAAATACTAAAAATGCATTGGGGAAGAATGAAATACACCGAAAGGCAGTTGAGGAAATATCTATGGGTCTTTTCCTGCCCCCCAGCAGTGGCGCCTCTGCAGCTGTGCCCACAGCTATGGCCTCTAGACCCATAGTAGCCTGGCTTGCTGGACGGCTGATTTCTCTATCCTTGCTTACATGCCGTTCTCGTCTGAGAGACCGCTGTCCCCTTGTCTGGAGTTTGCCACCAACATACCCTGTGTCATGCTCTCTTAGCATTCAGCATACTTTGCTTAGATGTGGGTATTTTACTTGTATCACTCAAAGGGAGGAGTCACTTCCATTCACCTCTTCCGCACACTGCTTGGCACGTAGTGAAGAACAGCAAGTGAATGAATATATTCACACGCCTAGGAGGCGCATGGAAATGTTCCCCCAGCCTGTAACAGAAACACTCAGGTTCACGTGAATGGCCAGTTCAGGAGGTCCCATGCACATGAGGATGCAAAGAAGAAGGGAAGGCTGTTGGGCAGTACATAGCAGGCATACAGTCAGTGTGCCCTGTGGCCAGCAGTTGCACACGCATGTCCTCTGACAGCGCTCACCAAAGCGCAGAAGTGACAGCATACACATGTGCTGGCCTGGCATCGTGTGGACTGTGAGAAAATTACAGCCGCCAACATGGCAAGAAATTGTTTCCATTGTGGTCCAGTCACAGAGTAGTCATCTGTATGGAACCAGTTCCATTGTGCATGGCTGGAGAAGAAGTTGCCAGAACAGCATATAGACAGGGTAATTATGCTCTTGTTTAAATAGAGGGATTTATAATTTTAGTGTACAGGGTGTACAGGAGCAATATAGAAGAAGCAAAACCACAGAGTAGAGAACTGAGTGAAAGAGATTATAGTTCTGCTTTCATTCTTTCCTGTGATTTTCCGTGGGAGGTAGGAGTTACTGGCTTTGTATGTGTCTGTTTTCTCTCACGACTCGAATATACCCAGGTTACTTCATCATCTCTTGCTCTCAGTGCGATGAAAAATGATTTCACACAGTCCCATGGGCATCTTTGCTCTCACTTAGAAATGCTTCACTGTAGCTGTGCCCTTCCTTGGACAAGTATTGGATTGCTGGACAGGGAAAAGGAAAAAGCTTCTGGTCTGTGTTGCCAGAATTTCTCTTCATCTGAGGTGAGATTACTTTCGATGAGCTTGAGAAGACATGAAGTTAGAGTTTCCATATAGCGTGCAGCTCTAGAAGCGGAAGATGGGTCTTTTCACAGGAACAAAACTGTCCCTTCAAGGAAGACGGCCCCGTGGAAGGAGTTACAGAAAATAGTCATGTGCTGGGGTTTCCGATTTGAGTAGCCAGGCTTAGCACCTTGTTTGGAAGGGGCATGGTGTGGTCACCTTTCCTTTTGCAGAAGCCCAGAGTCACTCCATTCTAGGAAGGAAAAGTGGGGGCAGTGCAGTTGCCAAGATGAGAGGGCCAGGGTCCCCTCATTCCAGGACTTGGGAGCTAAAGTAGGGGCGAGGCAGCGTCATTACTGGCAAGCGTCTCATCTGTGGAATCAGTGAGGATGTAGTCCTTGGAGACTTAGTTGTGGGACTTGCCCTCCTTGCTGTACGGTGGGAAAGCAAGTTGGAGGAGAAGCAGAGTTAACACAGTGCACTGAGCACATTCACACAGTGCTCAGTAAAAAACTGGTCATTTTTACTTGGCATGAAAAGAGCAAAGCAGGGACCTCTTCACCTGCTGTATTTACCCCGTACATTTCTCAAGTCCGCTAATGGATCCATATTTTGGAGGCCAAAGGCTCAGGTCGCCTGTGTGCTCCTGGGGTTAGGGGATCACTGATACCTTTGCTCAGTCATTCAGATGGTTGAGTTCTGTGTTCCAGGCGTCATTCTCAGACCTGGTAGTGAATCGGTACTGAAGTGTTGTCAGTTCACACTTGTCTGCCTCTGTCTGACCCAAGCCTCTCCCTTGAACTTAGATTTGTACATAGGACTGCCTGTGTGTCAGCTCTCTATGGTGTCTCAGGATGCACGCCACATGGGAGCAAGGCTGAGCCTCTGCCTGGTCTCCCCGACAATGTGCCCTCCCCATACCACACAGCGCCTCCCTTGTCCTCGTGCCCAGCTTTGAATCTTGGCTCTGTTCTTGACTCTGCCTTATACCTCTGCAGAGCCTGCCACTGCCATCTTCAGAATTACGTCCCATCTGTGACCACCTCCATCCTGGTCCATGTCTCTATCAGCTCCCTAGAACTATTTCCCCCCAGCACCTCCTAGCTCACCCCTGCCTGTGCCCATCTGCCAGCCTTTCCTCTGTACAGTAGCAAAAATTGCCTTTCAGAGAAAAGTCAGGACACATCACTGTTGTCTTTAGAAGTTTTCAGATCTTAGAGTGATCAGAGTCTCAGCCGGGTTTCCTGAGTCCTGCACCCCTCCAGCCTCTCTCCCTGGCTGTCCTCCCCTGGGCCTGTTTTCTCACTCTGACCAGTCCATGGAAACCTCCCAGCCTTAGGGCTGCTGAACCAGCTCCTCTTTGCCTGCACTGCTCTTCCCTGTGGGTTCTTTAGGCCCTGCAGCATCTACCACTGTTCAGTGCTCTCTCAACCACAGTTGTCACTGGGCAACACGTTTATTTACTTTGTGTTTGTCTTCCTAACTTAGGTGTAAGCTCTGTGAGGGTGCAGGTCTGTTCATGGTTATTCCTCTGTCTCCAGCATGTTTAGTGTTCAGTAGAACTGAGCACACAGGTGGACGCATGGATAGATGAGTAGATGGATAGATGAGTGGATGGATAAATTTGTTCCCCAGACTCCTGAAGAGTTCAAGTTAGTAGGGAGAGGCAGCTGGTGAGCAAACTACAAATGAGAACTTTGCTTGGGTTTAGAGTGTTCAAGCATTGGGTTTGGAGTGTTCAAGCCAACAGCACCGAGTCCAGGTGGGAGTGCCAGCCAGAGGCTTGACTGTATTATATAGGGTCAGTTGATCATGATGAGAGGGATGAAGGAGGAAGTGGGTGTTTGGACCCAGCAGTGTGCACGCAATGTGATTTGAGCATCCAGGAGGTGCAGGTGAAGCTCAGGCGGCTTCCGTGTGAGGCAGGGCTGTGGGCTGCCTGTCTTCATCCGTGCTGACAAGAGCCCGTGTGTGGCTTCTGGCCCTAAGTGGTCTTCACAGCCACATCACATAGGGCCAAAGGGCCACAGAAAGGAAGCAAGAGGAACTAGCAAGCTTCAGAGTTCTTTTCCACTCCCTACCGTCCCAGGATGTCACCACGAGGAGGCTCTGCACTCCGCAGGGTGCTGTTACTGACTTAATAAACACCGAAGCAGTCAGATACTCAGATTACAGTTTAACACACCATTTAAAATAAACCATCTTTGTGGGTGTAACATCAGTTTTGATATATAACTTTTCACTGTATTTTGATTTATGTAAGCATATGTCCTTGGGGAATACTGTAGCCATTGTAAAACTCTATAGTCCCAAGGTAAAATGCAAATAAATAAATGAAGTGCTCAATAATGATTTAATGGCATTTTTTCCATTTCAGAGAATACCAGTTTGATCATGGAGAGGTAAAGACTTAACACTACTAATACTTTACTTACGTTAATATCTGTCTATACTTGGACTTTCTAGTTTTGGTCTCTAGGCTTATTGACAATTTTCATTAATCACCTTCATAGTACCCCAGTACGGGTTTTGTGAGAGTGACTCAGTCTCACTGGGCGTTCATTCTTTTTGAGGCAGTGAAGCAGGAAACCCCCTTGGTCTGCTGGGACAATCGCTGCAGTCGTAGTTGCTGGTATGAGAGCCCACAAAGGTGCACGTGCAAAGTGGCTGCCTGTTGGACTCTTCTTTCCTATTTGCTCACCTTGCCCTGTGGCCTCAGAGATGTGACCACTGCTGCTGTCTCCTGGACACCCAGCCTCCCTTTCCTGCCCGTCAGAGGGGCAGTGGGTTTCACAGCAGTCATTTCTTTCCCCACTTGTCCTGCCTTGGTCTGATGTTAGCATTGAGGTTGCTTCAGAAATGTGGGCCTTGTCAGCCTAGTAGAGTTCTAGAAACACTTACCATAGTTACTTTATTTTAGCCTTCTAATGAAACAGTGCAGTTTGAAAGTGAATCCTTAGGAATTGTTTTCAGTATTTCGGAAATGAAAGTAATCCTTTTTCTTAGTTATTTTTACCCTTCTGTATATATTCACCACTTTATATATTCTTAACCTTCATGAAGAGTAGGAATACATAATACTTCTTTTTTTCTCTTCTTCAGCTGGTGTACCACGCCTTGCAACTGTTGGCATACACAGCCCTCGGCATTTTGATTATGAGACTGAAACTCTTCCTGACGCCACACATGTGTGTTATGGCTTCCTTGATCTGCTCTCGACAGGTGACATGGTGGTTGTGGCAGGGTTATAGCTGCTGTAATCATTGTCCCCATCCTTAATAACTGAGTGGTCTTGAAATACTGCTCAGCCATTTGGGATTTTGAGCCACTGCATTTAAAGTTCTTCATGGGCTTATACGCACCCTTTCTAACGTGAGACATCACTGTCTGCCCAGCCTTGAAGACAGTCGGGGGAATACAGTAAATACTAATCAGCGCAGGCTGAGCATGAGCCATCACAAGTGCTGGCAGAAAGCAGAACTCGGTTGTAGAAATACTTTTTTTTGACATTCATGTACAAAGAATCCTCACAATTGACTTCAAGTTAGAAGTACTTTTAAGTTACGTTGTTCTAAGTACCAGGCTTAAATTTTACTTCCTTGGTGTGTATTTGCATGCTTTGTGCAAGTTAGCCAACTCCGTCCCTGAACGTTGGCTGCTGGTTTTCTTGCCTCCTTGCTCTGTGTGTCCCCATCCTGTCACTTGCTGATCGCTCAGCCAGTCATTGTACACCTGTTATAAGTGTCATTATGCACAGGACCCCGGGGGTGGGAAATGACAAAGCCACCATGTGCCTGTGCCCTCAAGAAGTTTGAAGTCCAGCTCCACAGGTGTGAAGGAAATGATATCCAGGAGAGAGCAGCAGAGACAGCTCTGGAGCTGACTGTGGGCAGTGTGGGTACCAAACCCACAGTACAGGCTGGGACCCTGTGAGAGAGGCTCCTCTGTCTCTGAGCCCACCCTTCTGCTGGGGATGAGGGAGGCTGGTGGGAATCCTTTCCTTTCAGTCCCATTCTGCAGTGTGAGGCAGGCCAGGGAGCCCAGTCCGGGGTGGCTCCCAAGGACATAGCCTGTGCTGTTACCTGTACATGGAGGCTGAGCTCAGAGGATCCTGCATCAGTGTTTCTTGTGCTTGCTATTTCACAGTTGTTTGTGATTTTGCACAAGGAGTCTCAGGCTCTCACCTCCCCTGGGTCTGGGTCGTGGCTGGCGGGAAGGTCATGTTTCACTCACAGGGACCAGTGGGAGTGTGCTTTTGATTGGGGGAGCATTGTTTCTGGCACCTTTTTATCTTTTCTTGGGATCACTAGAACTTATCTGAAGCTCTGTCCAAGACTGAGTTCCTTTCCAGGAAGCTGTTTGCTTCTTGAATCCATGCTGCTTTGCACTAACAATTGTCCATGCGCTCTTCCTGTGGTTTCAGCTGTTTGGATGGCTCTTTTGCAAAGTGCACCCTGGGGCTGTTGTGTTTGCCATATTAGCAGCGATGTCAATTCAGGGGTCAGCGAATCTACAAACACAGTGGAATATTGTGGGGGAGTTCAGTAATTTGCCACAAGAAGAACTGATAGAATGGATCAAATATAATACCAAACCAGGTAAAAAGTCATGACCAAGCTAGGGTTTTTCTACTATTTCACATTCTGGTACACAATCCTCCTCACGTTACTTCAGTGGTCTTTCTGTTCTACCAGGGCTGCTCCTAGAATTTCAGCCCCTTCATCCCCCCTAAAAAGACAGATCAGTCCTGATTCAGTGGTTTGCAGGCAAACTGTTATACACATTTTCTTAATAATTTATTCTGATACTTTCCATAAATTTGAATTTCTTCAGAATTTATCCACAATTGTAAATGCCACATTTTAAAATAATTTTATTATGCGTATTTTCTTGATGAAAATTTCACATCAGTCCTTCACGGTCCCTCTTTAATTTACAGGATGTGATCTTTTATTCATGTTTCCAAAGGGAAGTTCTTGTCATCTGAGTAAATACTGCGTGGTGCTATAACGCTTTTTCGGTCACTTAGATATTTCTTCCTTAGAAACAGAAAAAATTTCTGAGATTAAAAGAACAAAAAAAAGCAAAGAAGTCTTCAGCAACAGCAAAGCTGTTTCCCAGCTCCCAGCTGGCTCCCAAGCTGGTGTCCATGCCAGCAGCTTCCCTGAGGCTTCCTTAGCTCCTGCCCGTAAATCTGATTCTGACTGTGTGACTTCTGAATGACTGAGGTGTGGAGTGAGGAGCCTCACGAGCTCCCTGCACCCTACTGAGGGCCCTCTCCCTGCAGATGCAGTGTTCGCGGGGGCTATGCCTACCATGGCCAGTGTAAAGCTGTCCGCGCTGCGACCTGTGGTGAATCATCCACACTACGAAGATGCCGGCCTGAGGTCAGTGCTCACACAGGGAGAAATGGGTTTCCACAGGAGCAGACCACGGATGAGGAAGCCAGCAGGGCAGGGTGTGTTGGGTGCGATTCATGGGCCACGGGGAAATGCTATAGCAAAACTGCTAAGCTGGGAACAAAGTGTGATAGCTTTGTAAGGCGAAAACCACAACTCTTGGGGTTGTTGTTTCTGCCAGGCAAAAAAGAAGTCACACCATGTGGATTGTCTGCAGGTGGGTGGGATCCAGGGCACCACATGCTTACTGGTCTCTGTCATCCTGCAGCTCCCCCATTCTATAGCCTGCAGTTTTCAATCTTAGAGGTCATTTCTGTTGAATTCTGAGCAGTCTGGTGCAATATGGTCCTGCCGAACAGTGTCTTCTGGTTCTCACCAGCACAGCCTATGCCAGAGTGATCTTAATTGTTGCTGTCTTTTTGAAGCTTCTTCTTCATTAATATCCTAGTTCACAAATACTTCTATTTGCAAACAATTCCATTGAAAACAAAAGCATTTGGCAAAATTTTGCTTCTGTTCACAAATTCCTCATTGGGTAACAGACACAAACATAGCCATCTTCATGTGAACACAAATGTGGCCGTCATCCCTAATACTGTAAGACAGATTAAGTTTGTAAACTTAAGTAGCACCACATTGTTTTCATAAATTACCACTATGTGTTGTCCTGGATGAGGTAATAGATTTGATTTTGATGCAGCTTGTAGGGTAGATGAAGCTGTTCACTTCCTCAATGGTTAGGTGAATCCTGTTAGCATATTATTTTGTATAGCAGCAGGATATACATTTTATTAATAAAAACCTTCTTCATTAAGAAAATCAGTTTCAATATGCTAATTTCCAGATTGGTTTCATGAAGTACATTTAGGTTTTTTTTTTTTTTTCAAATGTGGAGGCTAAGGGGAGGATATCTTTGTCCTGAGGACCCCTGGTGTCAGGGTTTGGGACAGCAGTCCTGGAGTCACATGTGTCCATTTCCCATCTGCGTTGCCTCCTTGCTCTTACCTGGGAGAGAGAGGTAAAGAATCTAGAACAAGTGATCAGACAGAACTGAAACCAGTTTGGAAGCAGCGGCACGCACTGAAGGGCATCCCCCCTCACTCCCCCCCACCCCCGCCCCAGCACTTTTGCCTTCAGCTTGGCCTGGCCGTTGCCAGGGTAGTGCTATTGCCCTGGGTTCCCTGAATAATCAGTACCATCCCGTGCTTTCTTCTGGGTAATACTGACTGTCCTTTTAACCTTGGAAAATGTTTCTGCCTATTTGTTTTTCTTTAAAGAGCCAGAACAAAAATAGTGTATTCAATGTACAGTCGAAAAGCTGCTGAAGAAGTAAAGCGAGAACTGGTCAAACTAAAAGTGAATTACTACATTCTGGAAGAATCATGGTGTATAAGAAGATCCAAGTGAGTATTCAACACTGTTAGTGTCCTACAGTCCTAAAACATGAGATGTTAACGTAGGCTCATTGCAAGCCTTTTACTCGTGAGAAATACAGTTTTGTAGAACTTTTTAGGTAAGTTATTTGAACCAGGTTTTTGTCTTGTCATTATAAGCATTTGTTTCTCTACAGTGCCACCCTGCCTTAAAATCATTCTATTGGCATTGATTGATAATCTCCCAAACTGTTGAGGTATAATCAAAATGTAGGATAAATACTCAAATACTACATATTTACTGCATTACTTCTATGAATCTCCCTTGAAATACTTCCTCTCATTTTGAACACACTTGTCACATCCCTCCTACATCTTTCCTAAGCAGCTGTGGGAGTCTTCTTTCATGAGTGTCTTTTTATCGCCTCAATGTCCTGAATCAATTCAGTGCACTTCCCTTCGTGATCATTTTGACTTGGGAAAGAGCCAGGAGTCACATGGCACCCTATCTGGTGAAGACAACGCATGACAGCATGCATGACCTGCATCCTCTTGGTTTATACTTTCAAGTTTTTGTTTCCATGAAGAAGTTCACTCACCAGGGTAGTGACAGGTGTCAGGAAGATTGAGTGGCACCAGTGAATTCTGAAGTTGACTGGGTTGCAATGCTGTGGGACCAGATGGCAGATGACAGCAACCTGTTGTTAAAAGAGGAAGCCCTCATGGCAGGAGGAGCCTAGCACACAAGCAGCTTCACTAGAAATCAAGGATATTTTATAAAACCTGATTTTAAAATTCCTTGATGCTGTTTTGCTAAACAGAAGACTTCAGGAGAAGCTGTATGTGGCTTAGTTACACTTGCCTGCCATAGATTTCAGGGGCACACGAGGAGATGAAGACAAAATGCTGTGCAAATTCAGGAGCTTTGTAACATTGCATCTGTGCAGCTTTGCCTGTAGGAGATTAAACGACTGTTAAATGCTTTGCCTGTGAATGTGCCCAGCAACTTGAATTGTGCAAGATTTACACAAAATTTTATTGCTCTTAGAATTTAGAAAATGCTTTCAGTACTTAGGGATAAGTTAGTACGTATGCAATCTATAGTCACCTTCACTTGACTTTGTTATATAAATTTAGGACAAAGAAAGTGTATGGATTGCTCGTAACAGTGTGATGGGGACATTACAGTAAATCAGTGGTGCGTACTGTCTGCAAAAGGAGAACTCAGTTTTCTCCATAGAACTTTTATTGAATTAAGATCTTCAGTCTGCTGTGAGGCACCTGTTCGTTACTGGAACATAGAAATAATTTTCAGAACCTTTTTCCCTTCGCTGGAAGTGAACCTCAATTCAAGAGTTTTTGTTTTTCCTGGACTTTGGTGCAGTGCTTAGAGTATGCACTAGGCACAGGCTTGCTGTCTGAGGTCTTGGTAGGCAGAGCTTGTTACATTTTTTCAGAACCAATTGTGATAGACATAAGTTTTACATTTGTAAACTTTATATCCAGAGATGGATATAAAGGCGAGTTAGGCAAGTGTGACAATGAATGTTTGTACACAAAGGGAAACAGCCACCATGTGGCTGGCTTTGGAGCACCCCACCTCCTGGGACAGGTAGGGGACAGGGATGTGCACCTGCCACATTCTCTCTTTGGGACTTTGGCTTGTTAGGGTCCTGTTGCTGCAGCAGAAGTCATAAAGATTTTCAGTCATCAGTTTCACACTCACCAAATAGCACTGTCCGTCTGTGACAGCATTGGCCAGACTGACACCCACTGGCAGGTGGCACAAGCAAACTGAACTCCCTGGCTCAGTGGGGGAAGCCTGGGGTTCTGGGCAGGAGAGGACAAGAGAGGAACAGGATTTGCCTCATGTTAGTATTTACTGTGGAACACCTGAGTTGATGACAGAGCCTTTTATCTGAACTGTGGGTCTCTGTTATTGTGTCCTCCTCCCTTCGTCAGTTACACCATCCTCCAACACCTGGGAGCTGTGGAGGACATGAGACTGCAGACCAGGATGGTGGGGGTGCGGTACAGGGAGGAGGCTCATCTCGTGCTGTGTCTGTGCTTGCCTGGCACATAGGGAGCACTGGATCTGTGAGGCTTAGTGGTATGGCTTGAGCAGTCCTTAAATGTGCCTCACTCGTGTGCAGATACAAGCACTGAAATGAACCTGATACAAACATGGAAAAGTAATTCATGTAGTTATTCTTCTATTCTCAGTTCTTACAAAAGTATTTGGAAGAAAATTATTCAAATTCACGCTAACCTTTGTTTGCAATATGGGTCTCACCTCACTGCATTGCCCAGGCTGACCTAAAATCGTCCCAGCCTCGTGAGTCCCTGAGACTGCAAGCATGTGCTGCCTCACAGCATTACTAATGCTAGTAAAAGGCGTTGCTGACTGCCCAGGGATCCTCGGGAATGCAGACAAGGACAAGAGGGCACTGCAGGCAATGGACAGGGCACACAAAGGCAGCTCTTTGCTGGCTATGTTTCCAAAGGAGTGTTGAACTCAGGGCAGTTTTCTGTCCCTACCTATGTCTTACTCTCTACCACTCTGGCCTTGTCCTGCACGAGAAAATTAGACCTGTGGGAACCAGAGCCCAGACATATTATCCTTGCATCCAAGGTCTGTGGAATTCGTGTTGATGAGGATTTGCAGTAAACAGGCACTGGGGCCTTAGGCAGGGACACTTAGGGAACCCTCCCTGGGAGACTCTGATGAGGGCAGAGTCAGAAATACCGTGGCCTTTTCATGCTCAGAACAAAAACTTGGCACATTCAACTGTTAAGAAACAAACAATCCAATTTTTGTAAAAATAACCCTGGGTAGGATGCGGACAGGGAAAGGGAGAAGGAGAAGGAGGGAGCCTGCCTGTATTTGTGTGTGTGGCGGAGTATGGATAGGAAAGGTCTAGCGGGACGTGTGCTGTGTACCTTGTAGAAGTCATCTCAGATAATTGACATTGGAGATGAAGGCACTTGTTCGAGATGATTTTTTTTCATTTAATTAAAAAAGAAAAATGAAGCTGCCATGACAAAATGTAGCAGTTGTCAATTCTCTGTATTTCTTCATGTGTTTTTCTGTTTCCTAAGATTTCTCAAAAAGTAAGAAAGTGTGAACTTTGTCAGACTCTACCAGTTATATCTATAAAAATGTTCTTGATTTAAATGAAATGTCACAGTTATTTTGGAGAACCTATTTAGGCAGATAACACTTGGTACCAATTTCACTTATATATCTTTTTTATATCCCAGACATAGTGGTAAGTACCTGACTCTTAATCCTGTCAACAAACCTGTGTCTTGGTGTTGTGGTTTAAATCTAGATATCCGGCAGCTCTTCATAAGCTCATAGACAGAGCTTTTGGAAGATAACCAAATCCTGGGGGTGATACAGCTGGCTTGCTGTTAGGAAGCAGAGGCTGGTCAGGAGAGGTGGGTCCCTGGGGGCATGACCTGAAAGTGTGTGTTCCGCCTGGCTCCTCCTTTCACTCTCTGCTTCCTAGCTGCCATGACACAGCAGCTTTTCCTTTACTAAAATGCCCGCTGTACCATGTCTTCCTGTTACTGGATAGAGGTCTTAAAGGCTTCTTTGTAGATCCTTGGTGTCTTGAGTAAACAATTAGACAAGGCAGACTAGATAGCTAGGGTGTGCACATGTGGAAGGCCAAACAGAAGTGTACTCAACAGGGCAAGAGTGGGCTAGTGAAAAGTCTCACACAGGTCAGAGTAAGAGGAAGGCCTCCTCTGTAACCAAAATAGGTGGAATGGCCTCCACCTTATGCAAATGTGACACTTGACCTAAATTGTTCTATCAAAGAACCTGTTTCATCTCTTACTGTATATAAATGAAGGATTAGAAACTGTTTTGATTGGTTATACCTATATGTAAATGAAAGATTGAGATACTGCTTCCTTATTATTTCTGTGTAAAGTGCTCAGGAGCCTTTAAGCATGGAGTTTCTGGGTCCAGGGTTCTATACATATTTTCTCCTTTTAGAAAACACTGAGTTTTTATGACTTTTGACACATTCTGCTGGATTGGTCTCCGCATTTGCCCCAGCTCTAAACTCCTACTTCATTCCTGCCTTGGAGCCAGCAGGCCTCGGGCTGAGAACATGAACCAAAATTAACCTGTCCCACTTTAAGTTGCCAGTGTCAAATGTTTTGTCTTAGGTACTAATAAAGGTATTTCTCAAAGAATTGGGGTCGTCACTGTGACTGTACTTGACCATATAGTGTAGAAGGGTGTGGAACTGGTTTGCAGGAGAGGAGGAGTTCAGAAAGGTTTGGAAACGCCAGCCCTAGAATCCTATAAGCCAGTATTTGTGGGAGATTCTGGCTGGAGCTCAGGGGATTAGGATGCTGGTAAAAAGGCACATGGTAAAAATGAGGATTGGTAGGTTTCAGTTGTGAATGAGAACTCCATTGGTGTTGAACTTCAGATTGTGTATTATGCTATGACGAAGCAGGTGTCTACATTCTACTCGTGTCCTGAGACCTTGGGGAGACAGATCAAGGATGGCAGACTAATCTGGTGGAGGAAGTTTCAAGGGAACTTGATGTTTGGGCTGTGACCTGGGTACTGTTGGGGGCTTTTAGGCAGCTCTGTGTTGACAATTGAGAGGACACAGTTGTACGATTTTAAAAAGTTTGCAGTTTCCCTAGAAAGGAAGCTCCTATAAAGTTTTGACTGAGGACAGCTTGGTTGCTAACAAAAATTAAAAAGAAGTCAAGAACCTTATATCAGAACCACAAGAAGGATATCTTGAGAGCATCTTGGGAACTAACAAAACCCTATTTTTCAAAGGTTGGAACTTTAAGAATTTGCTTTAAAAAGAGAATCACAGAGTACCTTATTGGAGAAGGACCACATAGGAAATCCATTTCCCAGATCCAATTTACATAGCTCAGCCACCCAGACATCCTGCAGCTATAATAATGGGCTCTGTTTGAGAATAGTACATCTCCCTACTTCCTGTTATCTTTTATTTTATTCTTTATTTTTACTCTGGGTTTCTACTATAAGACAAATGATGCGCTACTTAAGCTTGTGTATCTGATTTATTTTAGTTAACATTATGGTCTCAAGGTGCATCCATTTTCTGACAAATAACTCAAATTTATTCTTCTCTGTGGCAGAGTAGTACTCCATAGTACTACCATAGTAAATACCACATTTTCTTTATCTGTTCATCAGTTGATGTACGTATAGACTGCTTCCAAGATTTAGCTGTTATGAATTGTGCTGCTGTAACCATGGGTTTGCATGTGTCACTGTTATAAGATGCCTCTAACTGTTGTGGGAAGATAACTAGAAGGAAAATAGCTGTATCAAGTAGAATTTTTGTGTTAGTGTTTTGAGGAATCAGCATACTGATTTCTACAGTTGTTATACAAGTTTATATTCCCACCAACAGTGTACTAGGCTTCCTTTTCTCTCTATAGCTCTCCTGCATTTGATTGTTTGATTTCTTGATGATAGACACTTTTCTGGTTGAGATGGAATCTCAGTGTTGTTCACAAAGGGAAAGGGAATCAAGAGGTGGAAGGATGAGGAGAGAAAGAAAGGATAAGGAATAAAAAGTGGAATTGAGATGTGTTATGTACTTGTACCATCTCCACACAAGAAATGCAAACATTAGGTACTATACACATGTACTAATAAACTAAAATTTAAAAATACATGTGGGGAATAGGGTGCCTGGCTACTGTTGGAACTGGCAGCAGACAGTTGCATCATTCACGTGGTGATTTTATAGATACCTAGAATGCAAGAGTTGTGAGGTTAGGAAGGCTTCCACCCAGATTTCAGGAGAAGGCTTAGGAAGGTGGGCAGTGTGTAGAGCTATGAATATGAAGCCAAAGATGCAGTGGAGATGCAGAAAGTTGGAGAAAACAGGAAGGTGGGTCGTCTGGCAATGATGCCTGCATGGTAAGCACAGCCAGCCTAAGAGAGAGGCCACATGGACTACATAGCCAGTTGTCCATAAAGGGCCTACTCAAACACTGTGGGACTTGCATCGTGCCACAGCTTGCCCAGGTGCTGAGCACAGAACTACAAGACTTAATGTTCATCCTCCTGGGTTTTGGTCTTGCCTTGGTCCATTCCTTCCTATCCCCCTGTTCCTTCTTGTGGAATGGGAATGTTTACCCTATGCCATTGTATGTTGGAAGCATTTAGCTTTCTTTATGATTTTTCCTGGTGCTGTAGGTAAGATTTTGCATTAAATCTTACAGAGACTTTGGACTTGGATTTTTCAGCAGTGCAGGATCTGTTAAGACTTTGGAGACTTTGAGAGGTGGACTGTTTTGCATAATGAGATGAGCTTGAGTTTTTTGTAGGCCAGCAGTGGAATGTTATGGTTTAAACCTAGATGGCCATCAAGTCTCATGCACTCATAGCCAGAGGTTTGGGAAGGAGATTGGACTTGCTGTTACGAGTTGGAGTCTGATTGGAAAAGGTTGGTCAGTGAGGGCATGGCCTGGAAGGGTTTATCTCCCTTCTGGTTCCCTAGCTGCTAGGAGGCTTACTCTGTCATGTTCCTCTTCCATGCAGTCCTCCTTAGAGCTGGCAGATAATGGACTGAAAACATTAGCCAAAATAAAGCTCTCCTATTTTCATTGTGTTAGTATTTTGTTCCAGCAACAAAAACATGACTAAGATATTGGGTAATTCTACATTTCACAGATGTGGAAACTGAGGCTGAGTGGATGTAATTACCCAACACACATAGTGACAGATACTCGAGGCAGAATTTATCCAAAGTCTCTCTTATTCTAGCCCCTAACACGTGTCCTGTGAGTCTGTTTCCTTCTTTGCAGTCGTTCACCTTGTCCTAAAGAGAAGTTGCCATGGCTACAAAAGCTTAAGTAACAGAATTTAATTGGCAAAACAATGAAATGAGGTCAGAAATCCACATTGTGCTCTTCTTATTCACAGTTAGGTAATGTGCGTTGATTTCTTTTCTAGGCCTGGCTGTAGCATGCCTGAGATTTGGGACGTGGAAGATCCCACCAACGCTGGAAAGACACCCCTCTGTAACCTCCTGGTGAAGGAGTCCAAGCCTCACTTCACCACTGTATTCCAGAACAGTGTTTACAAAGTCCTAGAAGTTATAAAAGAGTAACGGCCACGTGAGTTGCTGCTGACAGATGACTACACCAACCATGGTCTTAATGTTTTGCTAACGAGTCATGTATCATTTTTAATTCAAATCCCAAAATTTTTATAGGCAACTTTTCAAATGGGAGAACATATTACTTGGTCAGTTCAAGTGTCATTCTGGCTGTAAAAATGACTTACGTGCTTATTGATGGGTTACTATTTCAGTACACTTCTGGAAACTTGCTATGCAAAGAAGTATATGCCTACACTTGACTAAAATACGCGTGCTGACGTGAGCAGAGATGCTTGTGTAAAACTGTGTGCTGGGTCATGACAGAGATAGTGGGAAAATGTCATCCATCCTGAGCAGTGCTGGGCTGATTTGAGTTTCATGGAGCACTGGTGTCCCTTGCTTTTCTCTCCACCCCTGCTCCTGGGTCTGGGCGACAGACCTGTGGTTCTTGCAGGCTTGGTCACCTCCCCTGCTCCGCAGCGGAGCTGTGGTGGATGGGCAGGCCTCGGTGTGGCTGTGTGCTATCACTCTTGAGATTTTTTTTGTTGTTTTCTGTTGCTCTTGTGAATGAAACGCTTCCTGCCTTTTCTTTTTCCAGGCTCTTGGATCTAGTGGCTAGGACCAAATCTGTTTTAACATCCAACCCTGTGATGTTATTGTCTCGCCCAGTCCCCAGTTTTTGTCAGATAAGTGATAATTTGCTCATTAAGTTGCTTAGCAAGTACTTGTTCTTGATATAAAAAATGGTAACCATGGATTTTCCTCATTTTTAGTATTATTCAGATGTTTATATTTTAATACCTTTAAACCAATTTAAAAATTTTTCATATTTAATTATAGGTTAAAAATTATTTTGAAGAACCCCAAATGTGTGTATCTAGAAGCTAATGTATATTTAAGTAGATATAATATGCAGCAAACTGTAGTGTCCGATATTTTCTTTTATTATTAAGATATAATAAAACATAACTAATTTTTCTGTCAAAAAAGTAAATGAATAATAATGAATGAGTGGAGTTTTTACTGTTTTGTTTTCAAACGTTAAGTCCAGTGTTGTAATTTTTGCTTCGAAAAACCATCATTTCAGTGTGAGGAATGAGTGTCTTCAGCCTTCTACTTCATTTTTTTTCTTCTTATTTTATTTTGAAAAATTTCCAAATCTGCCTTGAATTCCTTGTATAAACCTTTGTTTCTTAGAAGTTAATTGGTGTGAAATAAGATTGTTGGAAACAATGAATCATCCTCATTTTATGAAATGGTTGTCGGGCTTTAATTCTAAGCTTACCGTGACCATGGTTGAGTACACTTTTAATCACACAGTGTTCTGTTCATTAACCAGAGCAGCTTCTCTCCCTGTGGCTTGTCTGTGGGACCTGGCTCCTCTGGAATGCGTTTTGGCTCGAACTGGGAGCCTGTCTTCCCTGGGGTATAGCAGGTGGCTACGGACAGTGCAGTAGCCCAGGAATGGTGCTGGAGCCCTGGGGTGTCTCCCAGGAGACTGCAGACTTGTACTTGCTCTCTCTCATTTGCTGCGTGACGGTTTTATTTCTTAGGGTTTTGTATGCTTTGGAAAATAGGGGAGTAGCTGGGGATTTGTGGATTCAGAATCACACTGGAGCAGTCATGCTGCAACTTGGAAAAACATGAAGAGAACACTTGAGACTACAGGGAAAGAGCCAGCCTGAGTGGGGACGGGAGGGTACTTGGGCTTCCGCAGCGATCCCCACTTGCGTGTGGCAGGTTTTGTACATACAGCAGTCAGCTTTCAATCGTGCTTCTAATGTTGCTCTGTTCTCACCCTCTGACAGTTCCTTTCATTCAGATACCATTATGGTCATGTCATGTGCTGGGCAACATTAAAAGTAGCCTAAATCAGTGTTTTCAGAAAATCTTTTTGTAACAGTATTTCTTCATGTAACCCCACCAGCAAATGATGCATTCAGGCAGAGGCCATGGGCACTTGTGTGCTGCTGGCTACCAACCTGGAGTCATGGTGCATTCTGGGAAAAGCAGTATTAAGGCTCAGTATTTTGCATATTTTTAGCATTGGAAAATATTTTTGCTTTCCTGTGAAGACAGTAAAGGAGGCAATGGAAATAGCTGTTGCTATGACATTTAAGAAAAGCCAAGCTGGGGCAGTGGTTCCATAAAAAGACCAAACCTTTCCGATTGCCCGGCAGAAAGTGCTGCTGAACCAAGCCGGTGCCATTGAGGGAAGGCGAGGGATGCATTGGGGTACAGGGAGACTGCCTAGGAGTATTGTATTTTTATGAATTTTATGCCACTTGTCTACATGGACTATATGTTAAATAAAAAAGATCATGAAAACATACAGAAAGCGTCTTTCCTGTTTTCTTTTCATTTCCACCTGGACTGAACACGTCTCCTTGCAGGAAGGCAACCTTTGAGCCAGGTCGCCATGCTGACTGCTGTCCAGTTAGGGAAGGGACGGTGACCGCGGCTGACCAGTTTCCTCTCTGGGCTCCTGACCTGTGGGCAGTGGAAGAGTGAAGCCCAGGGCACAGCAGCGGGGAGAAGACCAGGGCTGGTTTATGGGGATGAAGAAAAGCTCTCAGTATTGAGGGCTCCAAAGCGGGGATGGCAAGGAAGTAGCTCAATCTTGGAGTTTATCACACGGAGCGTTTATGGCACCAAAGGGGCAAAGGGACCTGTGGAAAGGCAGGTGTCACTGCTGGCCAGCTGCATATGAGGCTTTGTCTTTTGCCTGCCGGTGAGGCCTTTCCTGCTTGCCTCCATTTCCCCGAGGCTGGTCTCCCTCGCTGTTCATTCGTTCAGGCCCTTGCCTTTGTCCCTTGCTCTCCTGGTCTTAGTGGGACCTGCGGGGTCCCCTGACCTCTCATGTATTTACAGCAGAAGCCACACACTGCCCTTTCCAGCAAGGGACATACACATTAGGGATAATACAGAGTTGCCGAAAAGCAACTTTCTCATGTTATTACATCACGGACACTTTGGTATCTTAACATTGCTTAAATTGTAGCTCCCTGATTTTGCATCGTTCTGTTTGAAGGAAAACCAGGTTAGCTTTGTTCATTTCCGTATGACAAGATTTCCTAACACCATGGCATCTTGATTTTGATTTCTGAGGGGTGAGGTGTTCTGATACAGTGATTCTCAACGTTAGCGGGCATCAGAGCCACCTGGAAAGTCCACAGGTCACTGTCCCTACCATAGAAATCTCAGGTTTGATTGGTCTAAGGTGAGACTTGAAACTCTCATTATTACCCTGCTGTCACCCTTCAGAGCAGCAGGTGAATAGGGCCCACCAGTTGGCCTGTGGGGGGCACTGCAGTCCCAACTGCCCATCCACAGTGGTGCCTTTAGATTGGCCCTGTCTAGAACTAATTCTTCAAGGTCTCCTCTTTGACTTTGAGGGATGTTCTCCAAGGGGACTTGCAAGGAGCAGAGAATAGATAAGGTAATTTTTAACCACAATAAGTGATGCAAGGCATGGATCAGGGAAAAACCTGTGAAATTTCATTTGTAACATCTCTTTGACTAGGAGTAAACAGATAAATTCAGTAATGTGTAGGGATTTGCAAGGTTTTATTTTCCACTCTGTTCCTTTTGGTTTGACACCAGACATCTTCAGACTTCTCCCCCTAGTAGAGGGCAACCGAGAGTCTGTCCTAGGACACAGGCAGCGGCCTCCTCTCCTGCCATCCCTTTCTCCTTCATTCCTCAGGACAAATACATTTTCACCTCCCAGGTTGAAAAGGATATTACAGCACATGAAAGTCTTGGGAATTCTTTCTTTTTTCCATTATTATGCAGAAGAAAATTTTGAGGACTCCAAATGAATATAAGAGTTGAAGGGTTTTCTTTTAAGAGTTTGAATCATTACAGTGTAATTAAGAGATAGGATTTTCTTTCATTGTGTAATGATTAGGATAGCATTGATAACTGGCTTCCCTTTCAAAGCGAATGTTTTTTTTATGCTCAATTATCTCTAACCCAAAACTCTAATTACTTTACACACAATGTTGTCAAAATGACTTGCAAATAAATGGCAGGGGTACCTGGTATTCTGTTTCCAAAGGCATGCTCTTTCTAATGCAGCCTAATAATCATTTCATTGATTTTTAAGTACCTGAGTGCAGCTTTTTCTTCTGCTCTATGCAAATTTAATACCTTGGGGAGACAACTGAATTTAATAAAATTAGGCTCACTTAGCTGTGCTGATTGCTCTGACAGCTGTAATCTTTATCCATTTATTACAGAAGTAGAAATGAGTAGAAGTGATGACCATTTCTGAATAGATGTGGTGTCATGCCATGGGAACTGGTTTTAAAAGGCACCTGCAGGCCGGGTCCGAGACTTCTGGCTTTGTCCTGCTGTCCAGTTAGGCCCTGCTGGTCTTCACTCCTGTGTCAGCTTCCTGACCAGACATCAGATGCAGAGCCTCTCTCTCACGCAGGAAAATCCCCTTCCCAGAGTGTGCAACTTGGGTCACCCTGCAGTCTGTGATGCTGGTAATGAACTTGGCTTTTCCTAACAAACATCCCTATGGCCCTCATTCTCTGTCCACACACTGAAATAACTTGGGGAGCTTGAAAATATACTGAAACCTCCCAGGCGTGATGATACACACCTGTAATAGCACTCCAGGAGGCTGATACAGGAAGACCGCAAGTCCAAGCCCAGCCTGGGCAATTTGATGACTTGGAGGGGTGCAGCTCAGTGTGAAGGGCCTGGGTTCAGCCTGCAGCATGGATGAATGAACAAGTGAATGAATGTGAAGTGTTCCCACCCCACTGAGGTAAGTCTGAGATTAGAAATTGTTAGAGTCATCAAGTCATTGTGAACCCCGAGTGCTCACCTTAAACCCGCTCACCTTGCTCCCATGGGAGCCTCCCTTTCCCATCCCTGCCCTCAGTGGACCCTGCCCATGAGAGCCTCCCAGAACACCTAGCTTTATTAGTTGTGATTGATCACTAATATTCATATTATTTTTACTAACTGTGGAGCCTAGTATTGAGCAGATGCATTAAGATCAGGCTGTTCAGTTGCAGCTCTGAGCTTAGTAGGGAGCCCCTGGGGAGAGTGACAGCATAGATGCCACTTTCTTGTAAGTCTTGACTAGAGTGCCAATGAGAAATCCAAATACAGCAGCAGAAAGGAACAGTATTAAGAATCACTTTGACAAATGTGCTTGGAGAACCAAGTTTCTTCCCCTCACTAGTGTTTTTCTTGGAACACACTTTCCTTGATCAGTATCAACTCAAATGCCACTTCCTCTGGGAAGCCTTCTCCAACTGCATGCCACACACACCCCTCACATTGTACTGCACACGAATGGCACATGGCTTTTTCCTGTCACCTTGCATCCTCACTGATGGGCACTTGTCTTGCTTCATTCTGCATCTTCAGTGTCCCCACCACAATTCCTGGAAAGCAGTATTACTTAATGAGTTTTGAAATAAACCACCCTTTGTAGGACAATTGGTGCATTCCAGATGGCAGTATAATTATTTTTAAAACTTGGAACAATGAGAAATTCTCTATTCTTGCTTCAGAGAAGAAGTATTAAATAGGAAATCTTCAGATGAGATTAATATCACAGATGGGAGAAAAATGTTCTCGACAAACAGCAATGCAGAAATATACCCCATAGCACCCCTTGGTGAGTGCCCTGAAAAGCAATATGGAAGACACATATGCCTGCCTTCTGGTCCGCAGACCAGGTTTTCCTTGGCTTGGTGCAGGACATGATGGCTAGTGAAAACCACACTTGTTCCTGACCAGGCAACAGGAAATCTTGGTAATTTGCAAAAAGTCTAGGAAGAAGGATTTCCAAAAAAAAATGGGAAGAGACGTGTGTTGTTAATAGCCAGTGTCAGCAAAAGAGATGAGAGCATTAATGGTGTCATAATAAAGCAGACAGATTAGAATCGTGGATATATCCTTTACAAACTTTGTCAAGTAGGGCATGTTTCTTAATTTGAGCATTAGTCCTCTTGTCTTTCAAAATGACATGTGTCCCAGGGCAATAATTGTAAGCAGGAGAAACATACATCTATAACCACAGGAGGAAATTTTAATATCCTTCTTGTAAGCATTATTAAAATAATCAAAGCAAAAGTTCAGTAAGGAAATAGATGATTTGCAGAAGCAGCAAAGCAGTCCTGACTTAATGGTCATACACAGAACAACCGAAGCCAGTACACGAAGAATATGCATTCTGCTCACACACAGGACTTTCCCAACAAGTGACAATGCAGCGCAACTCCTGGTGTAACCCAAGCACCTGGAGCAGGACCCAGCACATAAGCAGGCCTAGTGTTTGTTAAATGAAAGATGAATCTCATGAGGTCACACAGCAGTTCTCAAAAGCAAAATTAATGATAGAAAACCCTTTTGTTGGAAATCAGAACAAAATGCAGAAACACCATTTTAAGTGTCTAATTAGATATTAGGGATTGAACTCAGGGAGTGCTGATTTGTAGCTCAGCCCTATATGTCTGTCTGTCTTCTATCATCTATTATCAATTACCTATCTATCATCTATCATTTATAACATGTATGTATATATCTATGTTTATATCTATCAACAAGTTCTCACTAAGTTACCTGGATTGGCCTCAGAATTGTAATCCTCCTGCCTCATCCTACCAAATGGCTGGCATTATGGGTGCTCATAAGTTAATATATACCTTAATCCAAAAATTAATGAACTCAAATGCCTATGTTAGAACTAGAGGTAAATGATAGCAAAATGGTCCTTCCTTACAAAGTTGGAAAATAAGGAGCAAGAACTGATGACATAGTAGATGAGGTACCCAGTTCAATTCCCAGTACTCCTCTACCCCAAACAGAAGAGATCAATAAGCTTTTCAAATCAGTCCTGAGAAAAATGAGAAAGCATAGAAAATTTAGGAATGGCAAAGTGGAGAAGTTGCCTGGAGTAAACAGATGGGCAGGTATTACAAGTAGATTTGTTGGTGTATTTGGGGGGAGACATAAGTGAGTGATAGAGTTTACTAAGCTCAGAGAGGCCTTGAGTTCAATCTCTAGCCCTATAGTCAATCGGCAAATTTGGGTACAGACAACATGGATGAATTCCTAGGGGAAACTTCTCAGAGATGATTCATGAACAAATTAAAAATTATATATAACAGTCATCTCTGACAAAAAAGTTAATAATTATTAAAAGCATCTTTTCTTGAAGAACCAAATAACCACATTCTAAGCTTTTCCTGCTAAACTTTCAAAATACAAATTATTGCAGTCTTGCATAAATATCCAGCGAATGGGAAATAAGAGAACTCAATATTTTTAAAACTTTTTTTGAGAACTCAGGTTTTTTTGTCAACTATG